ATTTGCGAATTACCGCGACCTTGTCATCCATCGGGGAGGCGCCCTGGGCAGTCACATGGTGCCCTAGAAAGTCTAGTGCTTCGACTCCAAACTGGCATTTGTCAGGATGCACTACTACTCCATAATCACGGAGGCTTGTGAACAGCTGGCGCAAATGAGTCTCGTGCTGTTCGGGATTCTCGCTGGCAACAAGAATATCATCAAGATACACGAATACAAATGGCAGGTCACGGACGACCCTATCAATAAACCTTTGAAAGGTTTGCGCCGCGTTGCGTAGTCCGAATGGCATGCGTCGGAAATGGAATAACCCAAAAGGGGTTGTCAGCGCGGTCTTCTTCACATCATCAGGGTGTACGGGGATCTGATGATATGCGCGCACTAAGTCAACTTTGGAAAATACGCACTTGTCTCGCAACTGTGCGGCAAAGTCGTGAAGGTGCGGAATGGGATAGCGATCCGGGACGGTCACGCGATTAAGAGCGCGGTAATCGCCACATGGTCGCCAACCGCCTGACTTCTTTGGCACCATGTGGAGCGGCGACGCCCATGAACTGTCTGAGGGCTCGACAATGCCCAAATCGAGTAACCGGCCAAACTCGTCTTTAGCGATCTTGTGTTTGTCCGGCGCTAAGCGTCGAGGTCGTGCCGAAACTGGTGGGCCGGTTGTGAGTATTCTATGTGTGACGTCATGTTTCAACGGACAGTTCTTAAACATGGGCCGAGTTACTTCCGTGAACTCGGCAAGTAAGCGTTTGTAGACAGAATCGGAGTCTACTTGCACTATTGTGAGATTCAGCGACGGTAAGTCGGAGGCGATGCCATGTACGGACAGACTAGTGGTGGCATCCCAAAGTCGGTTGGTGCGCAAATCCACTAGTAAGCCGTAATGCCTCAAAAAATCTGCGCCGAGGATAGGCTGCGAAACATCGGCCAATATGAATGACCACTTAAACGAACGCCGCAGCCCAATACACACTGTGAGCTCACGCTGCCCATATGTGCATATGCGCGTCTTGTTTGCAGCCTGCAAAACGAGTGGCATAAGGTGCCTCTTATCAGCGGTGTTGGCAGGAATTACGCTTACCGCGGCACCCGTATCGACCAAAAATCGTGTCCCAGAATCTCTATCTGTGACATAGAACAAGCGACCGTCACGAAGAGGGCCAGTGAGGGGTGTCGCGCCCACCTCCTGGCCTAGTTGTTTTCCGCCGGCTTGCTATATGTGCATGGCGGGCGGCACTGGTGAGCCTTGTCACCCCACTTCTCATGATACCAGCAAACTTCAGAAGTGCTCGCTGATTTATAGCCGGATGAGTCGCGCTTCCGGTTGCTGCTCATGCTGCTGCTTCGGCTCCGCATGCAACCGATAGTGGCGGTCAATTCCTTGACCAATTTCGTGAGCGCAGCAACTTGGTGCTGAAGAGTATTGGGTTCAGTCATGACGCCGCGCCACGTCCACTGTTCACAAATCTAAATTCAGTGTATCAGTAAGAAATGTGATTACCTAATGGTAAACAAAAAATATTAATAAGCAAAGGTAATCTAACTAAATGTTTCTTATCTCAGGGGGATCACGTCGGGGTCACCAATTTAGAAAACTACATGGGGGTATGGACTATGTTGCGTGTTAACTAGTAATCCCACATAATTCCCTTTTTTAATTAAACTACTAAAAAGCAGTATCCCTCCAGACAAGAAAACACTTAATAAATGATCACATCCAGACAAATTGATTATGGTTAAAAACTGGTTCTATATTCTATAATTTCACATAAGATACAATGATTACAGAATTATCAGAAACCTCTTCTGTCTATCTCAACAGTGACAGACAATTAAACTATCACTAGGCCCTTGGTAGTTACTATTAATAATCAAACATAGATAACTTCCAACAGCACATTAATGTAAAGGAGACTCAACTTAGTCACTATGGTATTAATGATTACCGCTGAATACAAGTCTCGAAATATCAGGAGTCTACTGTCTAGCTGTTCAGTACAACTTAAAACAGTACTAAAACAAGTCAGTTAAATATCATTCACACTGCATGAATAATAACAGTCAAGAAAATACTACTCAAATCTAAGCTAGACAGCGTTTAGATTTACTTACATAGGCACGAAATATTGTGGTTCAAGAAACCGCTAAACAAATCTCTACTTGTGTATGTGTACGGAATGCACAACACGAGAATACAACAATATATCGGTGGATCTAGACTATAGCAGATCTAGATCAGTAGACCAGGCATAGGCCTAGAACTAGTGCAATTATAAACATGTAAAATATGTGTTAGTAAGCGTACGCACTCAACAACAGGCACTCAGTCAGTCAAAATAAGGCATCACAATGATAAACAATGCAAAGCATCAATCACAATATAATTAACGTTACGTGAGTCATTGGAGTTGAATTCAGAGTAGATCTTCTTCAAGTTCTAGATAGATGTAGAAACTAGCTAGTCGAAAACGGTGGTCGATGAGCTGGTTGTCGATCGCGTAGAAAATGCAGACGATGATCGACGCTAGATGAACGATAACGATGATGCATGAAGACGATGACTACGTCTACGGTGATGAAGACAATGATGGTGCAGATGATGATGAAGACAACGATGATGAAGACAACGATGATGAAGACAACGATGATGAAGACAACGATGATGAAGACAGCGATGATGAAGACAACGCTGGTGAAGGCGATGATGTCGATGATGATGATGAGACAGTCAATCGAATACAATAATGATGCAGTCGAGGTCAATAGATCAACTTGCGATGCAGGTCGAAGAATCAAAATGTCAAGACAATATATATCATATGAAGTCGATGATAAAAGGTTGTCAAACAATAATGCAGGTGAGAAAAGCTTTAGATCATATTAAATGTTCTATTCTCACTGCTGGTGAATTAAAGTGTCGTCAATGCTGAACATCGAGAGAGTCAAAATATATCTTGCAAAACGTACAAAATGTAAATAGGTGAGCACGTCCACCGGGAATGGTCCGGGGACGTAGCAGTTCAATCCTCGTTGGATACAATTTTCTAGGTACAAATATCAACACAATAACAGCATGTGTGTATACCAATATTAAAACAGCTCACTCATTCCCGCACAGGAAAATCAGAAGAGCGCCAATCAACTACAGCGCGATTGGTTCAAAACAAGCGCACATGTATGTTAATAAGGCACGTGATCTAAATACTTATGAATAAATACGCGTACATCTATGTTAATTGGTCATGTGATCAAAATACTAATGAATAAACATCGTTATATAATAAATCGAGTTAAAACCAGTTCTGAGGACATGGCGTAATACCAAATCCTCGAACTCTCAATGACTTCTAAAGCGGCTATTTTGGATTAAAAACACAATATGTATACCAGTGAATTATAAATGAATGCACTGTAACATTTGTCGCTACACATTATAATCTGATTGGAAATTATGCCATCTCTCCTTCTCTATCCCTCCCCTTTCCCTTTGGACCCTTACCAACTCTCCCTATATTTCTCTCTTTTGATCAGTCCTTCGAGCTTGAGCTCTTTTTTCCTTTCTCATTCTGCTCGTATTTCGATTGTGATGCTGCTCCTAATCCTATTCTACTTTCATATTCACATCTATATTCATACCTGAATTTATTCATGATGTGATTCAGAATTGTATTTAAAATTCTTGCTATGCATAAGTCATATAACTGTCTTGTCATGTTTTGTGCTGAAAGCCGGAGGACCGTACCTGCTCATAGACTTTTTCTTATAGAGTCTTGACGCCCTTCTGGCTTTCAGCACACGACACCATGTTTTTGTCTTATGTTTTATGTATTACATGTTATACCGATGGAAAACAAATTTCTACACATGTATATTAAATTATGGACAATAAAATCTTGAATCTTGAATTTTGAATCTTGAATCTTGAATCTTGAAGAGAAAGTACGCATGGTACTTTGGTAGTGCATAATTTTCTGTGAAATTTGATCAAAGTACATTCGCTCGTCAGCGGCTAGTCTTGAATCGGTCGCACACACTGAAACAGTATTTTTTAATTCGTTTCGTAATTGTGAGACAACTTAGACCAACTATAAAAATGAATTTTCTCAGACTTCAATCTCTATTTCTTGTCAGGAAATTCATCTCCATTGATGGCAAAATCATGCTGAATGAACTCAGTGAGCACATGAGCCCCCCTCCCTTAACAGCTTCCAGGAAAAATCCATCCAAAAACTACTTTTCTTGTGACTCGATCGAAGCCTCCTCTTATTAACCCATTCACCATGATGCTAAGGAATCATGTATTTGAATCCTAGATTTTACCTTTACTTAAATTTTTATTTCCTAATGAATGATTTCAGTCTCGATCTACTATACAATTGACTGGCACAAGATCCTATATTCCTCTTGCAACGCTCTCTCTCTCTCTCTCTCTCTCTCTCTGTACGTGACACATCTTCAATGCATGACACGTTTTTTCCATCATATTTTCACAATTGGAGTATAGTCATATAGTCATTTTTTCTGAAATATCATTTTAAAACACTTCTCATACAGTACTCATACATGATTTACTGCACTCTGAGAACGAGCTTGACACTGTCTAGTGCTGTGAGAATAAGGGACTAGGTGTGTCACTACGTTACCTGACGCTGCCGCGTGTTCTCGTTTAAGACTCGTACATATTCATATTATGATGGCGCAATTGAACATTTTTCATCAAGTCTTAATTGGCTCGAAAAATGTCGTCATCTTTCACAGTTTTCCCTTCAGGTTGAGATGGCTGTTGCTATGGGGCTCAAACCAACGCAAGATTGACTTTAAAATTATCCTCTATCTGCTGTTTATTCTAATGTCCATTTCATAAAAATTTGTATTTAAAAAGAAGAACAATTAGACATGCATTTAATTTTTGACTGATGTCACACAATTTTAAGCAATTTCATTTAATTTCAAACTTCACTCAGACACAACTATTCTTTCTTTTTCCATGGCAGGCATCAAAGAAAATGGATGACCTCTTAGACAAGCAGGAGAAGCGTGAGTACTGTGACTATGAGGACTGTGCCTGGGTGGAGAATCTTGGAGTTTCCTTCCAAGCCATGCGGCAAGCGCTAGAATTGACAGATATGAAGCTGCGTGCTGGAGACACCGAGTTCCCTTGCCATCGAGTCGTGCTTGCTGCAAGTAGCCCCTTCTTCCGAGCCTTACTCACAGGACCAATGAAAGAAGAGTCAAGGACGACCTTTGACCTGCAAGACACCTGCAGTTCAACATTGAGTCTTCTTCTTGATTTCATGTACACTGGTAAGCTTCGAATCACGGAGGAAAATGTGCAGGATGTACTCGTCTCTGCTAATTATCTATTATTGGGGCGTCTGGTGGACGCATGCTCAGACTTCTTACGGAGGCAGTTGGATTTTCAGAACTGTTTTGAGATGTACTCCTTTGCGGATGCCCATGGATGTGAGGAGCTGCTGAGAGCCACGCAGAGGTACATTCTTAGAAACTTACCAGAAGCTTCCTCCTCTCCAGCATTCTTAGAAGCGGGCTTTGAGCAGTTGCGTTCACTGCTGGGTGAAGACAATCTCAACGTATCGAGTGAGATGGACCTCTTTCGGAGCATCATGGATTGGGTGTCTCATGATGTTCAAGACAGAAGCTGCCATCTTCTGGAATTATTAAGACTCGTAAGACTTCCTTACCTTCCTACAGACAACCTGAACTTGATATCAAATGATAAGCTCATTGCTGCCAATCCCGGCTGCAAGACTGTATTACACAATGCACATCTCTGTAAGGAAGATTTAATACCCTATCCTATTGAATGGAGGAGTCCAAGGAGCTCAACCAATCAGGTGGAAGTATTGGTTGTTCTAGGTGGAGTGCATTCTAGTCAGCTTGGTAATAGTAGCAGGTACCGTTTTTTAACATTTTCTTTTGAGAAATGAATGAATGAAAGGGCAATACAAACCTTGTGATAACTCTATGTGGATGAACGCAGAAAAACAAGAGAAAGTTTGGAATAAATAGGATCAATAAGAAGAAAATTATGAATATATTCAAAATACGAGATCACTAAAGCTACAAGAATCTCAAATTGTCAATTTTTTTCAGTGGCTTGTGACTTAGTGACTGTGACAAAAATATCACTGATTTCTATTTTTTCCCAATTACATTCGCCTTTGGGGCACTTCACAACATATATTATTGCAGATCCTCTTAAACAAAGAGATTTCACGAGTCATAAATTTTTGAAAAATTTAATTTTAGTCATTTTGTTTGATTGAACAAGTGGGAAAGTTGTCCGCCATCGCAGACACATACTGATTAAGCAAATTCGACAAGCCCGTACCTATAGTGATTGCAACTGTTTTGTCAGATTTCATTCAAACTTTCGCCAGTATGGTATGCTTCTGTGATTTTTCTGCTTTCTTGTAGAGTAATTTGCTATCAAGGTTGTATTTCCCTTTAAAGAGCCTTGATGTGTAATTTGTTGTTTATAACCAGTTTTGTTTTCATTGATTACAAATTTAAACATACTTTCAATAAATGCCAAGTTATACCTTTAAATTACCATGGAAATTCTAATGGTGGTTGGCATTTTCAACCATCCTACAAGTTTTATGTTAACACGTTATGTGTCATGATACTTGCATCCACCAAGATTTATAGCCAAGAGTCAAGAAAGCAGTGTTCAATGTTTGATAAGAGAAACTAGGTGTGGTACACAACACAATATACATTTACAATGAAACCTAATTCATCAACCGTCTGTATTTAAACATAACAGTACTAAACACCTCTAGGCAGCCTCTGTTTGAGCTCAAGACTTCTGTTCTTGTTTCATTCGCTTTGTCAGTATTACCTGTTTAACCATGTTAATATTAATTTCAAGTGCTTTATGTATGTCTCTGTGAAATAATAAGCAAATAATTACCGTTGGTGAAGGTGATGGGACAAACTATCACTTCCGAGGCGATCTGGATGTAGCTATCTTTCCGAAGCAAAGCTGAGGAAAGATAGTGTATATATTCTGATCGACGAGGAAGTGATAGTTTGCCATCGCCTTAAAACCAAAAGGTGATTATTTGCTTTATATTCCACATCTGAAACAATTTAATTACAAAAAGAAAAGGACGTGTATGCGTCTACATAAAAGACACCTAGGCCCAAATTCACACAAAAAGTTTAACCCAACCCCTTGAGGGTAAGGTGCGCGCATGTGTTTTCTTTAATTGCGCTCATTGGTAATGCGCGCCTAATTACGCCTGTTTTAGTGCGCGTTTGGATAATCTTCAGTGAAAGTGCATTGCCCTTTGTAGATAGTACCTCTATCTTCAATGAAAGTGCGTTGCACTGTGTAGATAGTAGTACTATCTACACAGTGTAACAAACTTTTTGCTTCTCCCATCAATAATGGGCGAACTATCTTTCCTCACGTGATTTGCTTTACACCAATCGTAGAGCAAGATTCTTAGTATGTGGGATATAATATTCAATATCACATTGTTTGATTGTGTCTTGCAGTAGTCTACAGCATTACTGGTGTGACCCAAGGTCTCAGCTACTATCATGGAGTAAGCACTCTGCCATGCCCCACATGCTACGCAACACGGTCATGTACGATGTGACAAAGTTCCGGAATGATATCTATGTGATAGGAGGATTTGACGGAGAGCAGGGTACGCTTGGTCATGTGTGGCGCTATCAGATCGACAACGACCAGCGAGAGACGTGGGGTAGGGTGCCCGCACTCATCACGTCTAGGTAAGGTAACAAGTTGGGTTCATCAGGTTTTGAATCAGACTTTGTATACGGTACTAATTACAAAGTGTATTTTTTGTTTGTTTATTGTAATTATGAAGTTCTTTGCCAGAAAGATAATTACATTATATTTGGGGGACAAACAAAGAGATACATGTAGAATGGTGGGTTAAGCCGGTTACTGCTTGAAAGTACAGTATATGGAAGACTTCAACCCATAAAGCTACCCATTCACAATAAAGTCATTCATATATTTTTCTTTGCAAACTATGTTAAGATTAAAAGTTATAAATGGCCGGTTCTTAGCCCATTACTCAAGTTGAATGTTTTAATATTGGAAAGTGTATCAAAGAAACAACAATTGGAATAGATTGAAGGCTTGAAGGAGTCCTGATTAATTTGGTATTCACTGTTGACCTTTTGACCTTTTCAGGTATCAGCATGGATCAGGTGTAGCCGGGGGTCACCTTTTTGTTGCCGGGGGTTACGACGGTCGGGAAGCTCTGAACAATGTCGAATGCTTCAGCCCAGGCTGGGAGAGATGGCAGCCCTGTCCACCAATGCCAGAGGCCGTTACATTTCCTGCTGTTGTGGGCTATCATAAAAGACTGTTTGTGATTGGTGGAATGAAGAGTGACTCGTGTGCATTTCCTTGGATTCAATGCTTCGACATGGCCACACAGTCGTGGAGTATTATCAAGACATTGGAGCTCAAATCAAAAGGTTTGCAGCATCCATATATTCCTTGTGTGACCCCACATTAGGGACACTGATTTTCCGTTTCAAAAAATGGCCTTTTCCGTTTCAGAAAATCTTGAATTCCGTTTCAGATGGGCTGAAAAACGGAAATTCCGTTTTGCCATAGACTTTGTACACATGAAAAAACTAAAATTCCGTTTACATAAGATTTTCATTAAAACATGAACTTGTAGGGTACAAAAGTTCTATTAAAGCCGCCACCTTTGACAAGCCACTGATAACCACTCAAAAACATACGGACGGGACTGGATAAACTTGATGCAAAATACTAGTGAAAATATAGACCCCTACGGGCCCTAGAGTCTAGGCTAGACCTACAAAAAATTATCAAATGTTTAGATTTACCAACTTCAAATTCGAACTTAGACTAGCAGACTAAAGTCAGCTGAATGTATCAGAACACGATATATTCTTGACGAAAATGCTGAGTAGTACCGACGTCAACGAAAACATTTTCAGTCTTGGCTGTCATGTCCGCGATCGATCGATTTTAGGCGCACATGCCAGCCCCTTTTTCGAACTGTACAACTGAGTGTGTACAATCTCGCCGCACGTAGCGACCGCTACTGGCGTGTGTGTGCCTAGTATTACGTCTACGTAATGATCGCTTTCGGTCCAGCGAAACAAAATGGCAGCGCCCGGTCTCCTTAGAATCTGACGAATATCGCTAAATATTCGGAATTATTAACCATGATTTGAGGCCCAATATTTTTTAACTGCATAACGAGTCACAAAAATAGTGTAAGTTTTACGATTTTCTTCTTAAAAAATAAAAATTTTTGGGGTAAAAGGGGTTTTCCGCGATTTTCCGTTCGAAATTGCATTTTCCGTTTCAAATGGTCAATTCCGTGAATTCCGTCCGTTTTCCGTGATCGCGGAAAATCAGTGTCCCTACCACATTTCTTGTCACTTTATTGTATGTTTGATTGATGGTTGTTTTACCTGACTGCTAAGGAAGTATGTGTATGCTTGTAAGTAAGCAAGCTGGGGACAGAAGGCTTTAAGTCCTCTCTGAGGGGCTTCGTAATGAATATTACCAAGGGGCACAATCACATTGAATTGGTTTTGAACCTGGGACCTCCCACTGAACCATCGCATCTCCTCCTGTGCAATGTCATTGACAGTAAAAATGAATACATGAACAAAATATAAGTACCAGAGAGAAATGATTAAAGTTTTCAAATTAATAATAAATCTTTTTAAATATATGCCTGAAAAGAATCTTATAACTCCAATTTGAGTTATGCTGATCTGTAACTGACATAATTCTACTTTGTATCTTAATAATTCCTCATTTTCAAATGCTTATAGACCACTAAGGACTGTGTGTGTGTGTGTGCGTGCGCGCGTGTGTGTGTGTGTGGTGGTGCGCGCGTGTGCGTGAATATTTTTGTGTGTTCTATATTCTGTAGCTTAGTTCACTTAATGATGTACTATTACCAGTCTCTTTTTCATGTAAAAGATTATATCATGTTTTGTGTGGTTTTGAATAAATGAACTTGAACTTGAACTTGTAATGTTTGAATGCCATATCATGGTAGCCTAGCTAAAGCAGGGTTTATGGCTATGATCGCACTGACTCGGCGCTCTCACCGAGAATTGTATAGGATGAGGTTACCCTTGGTTAAAGATACTACTGGTATGTCCCATTTGCAGCCAACATCAAATTTTGTAGAACTTTGCAGGAATTATGAATATGTCATGTATGCCCTATCTGTGAAATTCAAATGTTAGCAGTGTCCTAACAATCAAATTATGCAAGGAAACCTGTTTACTTTCTAGAATTCCCTGTCAGGCACTTTTGAGTGAGTGACTGACTTTTTTTTTTTCTCTTGTAATAACATACATAAAATGAGCTGTATAGGGTACATGAGCATTTGCCTACATCAATAACCAAACTCTTGTAATGGCACAAAATGTAATTACTAAAGTTGATTTGACAACAAATGGTCAATATTTTCCCACTTAAAGACATTTTCAAGGCCTTTCGTTTTGAGGGAAGTTCTAATTTAGTATTATCTTTCAAATGCCGTTGGAATTTAATCTTTTCATTGTTTTGGCTTGCAAATGGGACATACATGTACACTGTAGTACCTTTAAAGAGACATATTATTGTTGTTATTATTATCATCATTCTTTACTTCCATGCCATCAGTTTAACTCATTTCAAGAGGAACTCTATCCATTTTAATATCATAATGATGTATTTCTTTGTACAGGTAGCAAAAGTGTCCTGCTAAACGATGCCATTTACATCATAGGAGGGCCATCCAATCAGGTCCATGTTTATGACCCAGAGAACGATGTTTCTTTTGATGTTGCTCCTACCTTGGATATCCATGTGTGTGCTGGTGTCACAGTCAATAACGGTAAGAACAAAGTGTAAGAACATCTTGAAAAGAAAGAAAACCAGATAATCCATAAGTCACAGTCAATATAAATGTTAAGAACAAAATATGAGAACATGCTAATCTTGATGAGAAAGAAAACCAGATAATCCATAAGTCACAATCAATATAAATGGTAAGAACGAAATGTAAGAACATGCTAATCTTGATGAGAAAGAAAACCAGATAATCCATAAGTCATAGTCAATAAGGGTAAGAACGAAATGTAAGAACATGCTAATCTTGATGAGAAAGAAAACCAGATAATCCATAAGTCACAGTCAATAAGGGTAAGAACGAAATGTAAGAACATGCTAATCTTGATGAGAAAGAAAACCAGATAATCCATAAGTCACAATCAATATAAATGGTAAGAACGAAATGTAAGAACATGCTAATCTTGATGAGAAAGAAAACCAGATAATCCATAAGTCACAGTCAATATAAATGGTAAGAACAAAATATGAGAACATGCTAATCTTGATGAGAAAGAAAACCAGATAATCCATAAGTCACAATCAATATAAATGGTAAGAACGAAATGTAAGAACATGCTAATCTTGATGAGAAAGAAAACCAGATAATCCATAAGTCACAGTCAATAAGGGTAAGAACGAAATGTGAGAACATGCTAATCTTGATGAGAAAGAAAACCAGATAATCCATAAATCACAGTCAATATAAATGGTAAGAACAAAATATGAGAACATGCTAATCTTGATGAGAAAGAAAACCAGATAATCCATAAGTCACAGTCAATAAGGGTAAGAACGAAATGTAAGAACATGCTAATCTTGATGAGAAAGAAAACCAGATAATCCATAAGTCACAATCAATATAAATGGTAAGAACGAAATGTAAGAACATGCTAATCTTGATGAGAAAGAAAACCAGATAATCCATTAGTCACAATCAATATAAATGGTAAGAACGAAATGTAAGAACATGCTAATCTTGATGAGAAAGAAAACCAGATAATCCATAAGTCACAGTCAATATAAATGGTAAGAACAAAATATGAGAACATGCTAATCTTGATGAGAAAGAAAACCAGATAATCCATAAGTCACAATCAATATAAATGGTAAGAACGAAATGTAAGAACATGCTAATCTTGATGAGAAAGAAAACCAGATAATCCATAAGTCACAGTCAATAAGGGTAAGAACGAAATGTGAGAACATGCTAATCTTGATGAGAAAGAAAACCAGATAATCCATAAATCACAGTCAATATAAATGGTAAGAACAAAATATGAGAACATGCTAATCTTGATGAGAAAGAAAACCAGATAATCCATAAGTCACAGTCAATAAGGGTAAGAACGAAATGTAAGAACATGCTAATCTTGATGAGAAAGAAAACCAGATAATCCATAAGTCACAATCAATATAAATGGTAAGAACGAAATGTAAGAACATGCTAATCTTGATGAGAAAGAAAACCAGATAATCCATAAGTCACAGTCAATAAGGGTAAGAATGAAATGTGAGAACATGCTAATCTTGATGAGAAAGAAAACCAGATAATCCATAAACACAGTCAATATAAATGGTAAGAACAAAATATGAGAACATGCTAATCTTGATGAGAAAGAAAACCAGATAATCCATAAGTCACAATCAATATAAATTGTAAGAACGAAATGTAAGAACATGCTAATCTTGATGAGAAAGAAAACCAGATAATCCATAAGTCACAATCAATATAAATGGTAAGAACGAAATGTAAGAACATGCTAATCTTGATGAGAAAGAAAACCAGATAATCCATAAGTCACAATCAATATAAATGGTAAGAACGAAATGTAAGAACATGCTAATCTTGATGAGAAAGAAAACCAGATAATCCATAAGTCACAGTCAATATAAATGGTAAGAACGAAATGTAAGAACATGCTAATCTTGATGAGAAAGAAAACCAGATAATTCATAAGTGCAATACACCATGAATGTACCACTAAGAATATGTACCTTTTCGTTCCTCAGGATTTATTTTTAGGACTAACTGATCAAATATTGTCCTTCAAATTAGCAACAATGATATTCTCCTGTAATAGATAGTACTGTACATTGTTTTCAAAAAAATGTAATGTCTCTGAAAAAAATAAACATGGTTAGGAATGTTGCTGAAAAGTTGAAAAAAATTGCTGATTCTGATACAAAAACAATGGTAGATGTAATATGAATCTCTAAATGTGTTGCCAACTTAGGGATCTGAAAACTTATTTTCTAACAATGGATGCAGTACCGGTATGTGCATAGTTTGTTGCCCTTTCTGCTTGTGTATCTGGTATAATTTTTAGAGCTCTGAATAACAAATTATTGAGCCAAACCTCAAAATGTTGAGTGATTCCCGGGAAAGAATGCATATTCTCACTGGTGATTGAAATTTGTTAAAGGTTGATGATGAAGAAGTACTGCATTTGGTTACTCTTTGAAATAACTCTCAATATTTTTTTATTTTTTAAAATCATTCAATTATCAAATCGTCAGGTCAACCAACATGTACATGTATCTTGATCTTGGGTGTATGTGCTAATCAAATAATGCACAAAGTTGTATGAGAAAGCATGGAAACATATTCTATTGTGGGTATCACAGGCTATACTACATGTATTTTGCTTCATGATCTTCTTGTTAAGATTGTCATATGTATGCTTAGTGGTCCAGTTGCGTGCTTAGTGATAACTTAATTCCTGTGAGTATCATTCTGGTCTTATTACAGGGAAGATCTATGTTGCTGGAGGAGACAACTTGAAGGACAGACAGAACTGGAACAGCGTTGAGTGCTACGATCCTGCCTCAAATACCTGGTCTATCATCGGTAAGATGGTCATCCCTCTCTACTGGCATGGTTTGGTGTCCATAGTTAGACCTAATATGCCTCCTATGAAAGCATACCTGGACTCTACCAATGTTTATGAAGTTGGCCCATCCATGATGTTCAGAGGTTTCCAGGAAGGACCTCCTGATCATGATCCAAGATGATGGCAGGGTTAGGGTTAGGATGATGGCAGGGTTAGGGTTAGGATGATGGAAGGAAGGACCTGCTGTGTGTGTGTGTAATTTGGTTTTTACAGACGTGTATCAATCAGGTATGATTATTTACGTCTGGGGACCGACTTTTAACGTCGCCATCCAAAAGACGTGACTCAGTTTCGAACCTGCGTCCTCAGCTGAATCAGTTTGTAACTTCCATTGTTAGCTGGATTACAGGCGCACGCCACAACATCCCGTTGATTATGCTGATTATGATTCAGATGATATCTGTGATTTAGCCTGATTCTTGTGTTTGTAAACAAGGACAACATACAGGTCAGGGATTCACCCAAGCAGAGAGAGTAAGTGTCTTGGAGGTTTTTGTTGCTTTAACAATAATGTTTATTATGGTGCTGTAAGTACTGCCTCCTGTATTATAAATAGAGCTATATTCCTGTCATCATTATTGTTATGATCCTAGCACAGTGCCTTTGACCATTACTTCATTACCACCTTGAATTGAGTCTGTGTAATCAGGGAATAGGGTGGGGGGGGGGGGGGGGGTAGGTGTGTACCGTTACATGATAAGCATATTCTACTTTTGCCACTCTCAACACCAGTAATAAAAAGTGTGTTTTTTTTTGCTTTAAATAAAAAATACTTCCCAAAGCTTAAAGGTAAAGACCAGTATTGGAAACGCCCTAATTTCAAAACATGAAATGGAAGCTCTTATTACCAATCATGTGAAAGAATATGTTTTTGCTATTTATGATGATAACAATTTTGCCGGGAAACCGCCTACTGATTGATATATTTGGTAAATAAGTCTATCTATTGGGATGTGAGAGATAAACGCAAGTGTCGCACACATGTGCATAGTCCCATATACATCTTTCTGTGTACAGTGCTTGTAACTTTACCAAGACTGGGCCAAATTTCTGTTATCATTTTGATGATTCCAGAACCTTGCAGTACACACCAATACTTATATGCTAGATGATCAACCTTTTCTGATCGATTCCACAACGTTTCTTTCACAATGCAATCGCATGACCATAACTGGTCTTTATCTTTAAGCCTGGGTTGTGTTTTATAGGGCACTTAAGAAGCACACTTGTAGATAAGTCAGAAATCAGAAATGGAGAGATATGTTCTGATCTTTCATATGCCACCTCTCTAAAGGAAGGGCATTTTCATTAGTGGTGTAAGGTGTTTTTTTTCTTCCCTTCTTGTTATATTGGAGTATGATAGAAGAATAGTTACAGTTAGATTCATGTCCATCCTTTTTGCTTTTAGAATTAATTTTCAAGTTACAGGTTTGGTTCTTCCCCATATGAAGTGTAATAATGATAACAATAATGATAATAATCTGGATTTATATAGAGCTCAATACGTAATACCATCTCTAAGTGCTTTACAGCGCTGTTACCCCGGTCATCAGATTCATTCATGCACAATGTGCACCATCTCCACTCCCTGGGGAGTATTCCTACCATATGGTCACTGTAATGGCATATATGGCAATTACTAAACACAATATGTCACTCTACCAGGTCCCCATTTCTATCCTGGGTATGGAGTGGCATATGTAGATTAATGCTTGCCGAAGGAAGTTAGTAAACATGGGAGAGTATATATATATATGTACATGCATAGAGCAATGGTTACTGCAATGATGCAATCGCTATCTATCAATTCTTTCCCAACCATTACCCACCATACAGGTAAATGTAGTACTTAACCATGATAATGTGGTCAGTGAGTATTATAAAATTGGTTCAAGAATGTAGCCAATGAGAAGCGTCGAAATGGATGTTTTTGAAGCTTTTACCGACCTTGAATTTTGTTGCGCAAGTTTTGTCCACTCCTGCAGACTGTCTTAAGCTACATGTAAAGCCTGGGGCCCGTTTCTAGAAACCGTCATTAGTCTGACTTCTTGACTATCCCATTGAAACGCGTTAATTCTATAACACACGTTTCAATGGGATACCGGTAATCAAGAAGTTAGACATATGACGGTTTCTAGGAACGAGCCCCTGGTGTCCTGCGATCACTGGACCAAAGATAGGTGACAATAGGTACCCAAGGTCCCTGTTTAGTGTCGGCTTAATCCTCTTACCGTAATCCATATTGACTCTTTCACCAAAGATAGGTGACAATAGGTACCCAGAGTCCCTGTTTAGTGTAGGCTTAATCCTCTTACCGTAATCCATATCGACTCTTTCACCTTTCTTAATAGACCAGTTCGCAGATAAAGGTCACTTGTACAAAATTATATAACCCACTGAGACTGCTCACGAAAGTTATGTAACGGTAATCATTATTCATGCATGCACACATGATACATTCTATTGGACACAAGTGACAGTAATCCTTTCAAGAGGGCAAACAAAGAATCACGTCGGTGTCTTTAGCTGTGACTATTCCAAATGGCACAAAGTGGGATTTATCTATGTTTAAAAGATCTGTGGATATTTAGGGTCACTGATCTGAACCATGGGCTAACTACGAACAGGGACCCATTTCACAAAGCCTTTATTCAATGACAAATGACAAAACTCAGTGACAAATCTGCTGATAACCAATCAGAAGCAAGAATTTCAGTAGCTTATAACAAAAATTGTCATTCGTCATTGATGACAAGTTTTGTGAAACGCTCCCCTGGTCTATTGGTAATCACACCATTTGTAATGTGATTGCATACCATGGAGCATTATACACACTACCCCTTGATTAGCCCATGCACCACAGCTCTCTGTGACAGTCTGCTGTTTCAGCTCATTTCCTCAGCTTTTTGGTGATGCTGTGGTTCAAGTTTTACAACTTGTATTTTTAAAGAAATTACATACTCTGGCGAGAATTGCTCTTGGGTCATTTTTTAAAAGAATAACAAGTCCCTACTTCACCCCTTTGCTGTGCAATATCCAACCCTGAACTTGGTATTACATCTGCCGGTAACCTCGAATCAAATTGCAACCGTTACCCTAGTCCAGCCCAAGACGAAAATCCAATTGAAACCAATTGAACACCAATTGAAATTTCAATTGGTTTCAATTGGTTTCAATTGGTCTCAATAGGTCTCAATAGGTTTTAACAGGTTTCAATGGGACCTCAGATGTTTTCAATTGGTCCAGATTGGCCCCATTGGACAAATTGGCCCCATTGGCCCCATTGGCCTAGGCCCCATTAGACTTTAATGGGTCCCAATTGGTTTCAATTGGTCCGGATTGGACAAATTGGCCCCATTGGCCTAGGCCCCATTAGACTTTAATGGGTCCCCAATTGGTTTCAATTGGTCCGGATTGGCCCCATTGGACAAATTGGACCCATTGGCCTAGGCCCCATTAGACTTTAATGGGTCCCCAATTGGTTTCAATTGGACCAATTGGCCTTAATTTGGACTTCAATTGGTCCCATTGAAACCAATTGGCCAATTGAAACCAACAAATCTAGGCATCTCATGAATATTCATTATCACTTTACACGTGTCACAGAAAAATAAATTTATCATGATTTGTTAAGCAAATTATGATAATGCACATCAATTTTGTGATTTCTTTATTCCTTCAGCAATTATTAACCAATAGATTATTTTGTCTGATCATGTTACAATTACATTCTCGTTTTAGCAATAGATATATTGATTTATATATTGATTATATGATTACTAACCAAAAAACAATATACATATTTAGTATATATATTTGTACGAGCCAAAGTCACTGTAAATGAAACTCTTGAATTCACTTCAAATGATCTTTGTGATGAAGTTAATGCAAATGAGATTGGAATATACCTAAATTGGTGGACAGTTGCCAATATCGATTATGAAGTATCAATAATTTATCACTGGTTCTTCTAACTGGATCGATTTACCAATTGAATCCCCATTGAATGCCCCCATTGAATCCCAATTCAATACCAATTGGCAATTTGGAGTAAATGGAAAGTGAAACAATGGGTACCCATTGAAACCAATTGGCGATTGGTCCCCATTGGAACCAATTGGCAATTGGTCCCCAATTTGGAGTAAATGGAAAGTGAAACAATTGGTACCCATTGAAACCAATTGGCAATTGGTCCCCATTGGTTTCAATGGGTACCCATTGTTTCACTTTCCATTTACTCCAAATTGGATTCAATGGGGACATTCAATGGGGATTCAATTGGATTTTCGTCTTGGGAGATTCTCTCAGTTTTTACACAATTTTTTTTTCCTTCAATCATCACTTTTCCCCTCCCTTAAGTCCCACACAGAGCGCAAAGTCTCCGCTAATCACGCGATCCCTGAAAATACACAGCCTACAAATTCATCTTGATCATGTTGCTACAAATTCAATCAAATTAATGGATTGATCTTAATCTGATCATTCTGCTTCATAAAAGGCAAATTTTCTTAGAAGTTTTGTTGCGGCTATTGTAGGTACCTCTACAGCTTCGAGGTCAACTGCTGAATAATTGACACAGCACCACATACAAATATTCCATGAGTGGTATACAATATTATATGTGTACAAATCAATTAAAGAAATGATTACATATGTGACAATGTTTTGTTGAGAATTCTATTTTTAAATGTATATTGTTTATATAGATATATATTTTTAAATGTATATTTAAAGTATTGGGGTCGATTTTGAAGTGAGAGAGATTTAGTTTTATGCACAGACATGCCGTTTTTGTTCAATGGATTTATTTGAGTGTGTTTTTACAATCTCCATTCTCACACAATCCCTATCCATGGAAACTGACTGACTGTCACTATGAACATGACAGACAAAGAAAGCGGACAAAATATACAGTTCCTCAGGTAGACAAAGGAACATCCCTTCACTGCTATTATGTAAAAAGGTGAATATGCATGTGACACCTGTTCTACACATTTTTACATAATAGCTGTGAAGGGATGTTCCTTTGTCTACCTGACGAACTGTATATTTTGTCCGCTTTCTTTGTCAGTCATGTTCATAGTGTGTTTTAACCCGTTGACTACTGAATTCACTCATTCCCATAGAGTTACCACAGTGATCACCCGGCTCCAGTAGCCAAAGGGTTAATTGTTTGTTTGGTGGGTTTGTTTTTATCCAACTGCTAAGAAAACATGCATATGCTTGTAAGTAAGCAACCGGGGGACAGACAGCGTTAAGTCCTCTCTGAAGGACTTGTTAATGAGGATTAATGCTTTACAAAGGGCACTAGCGCATCAACTTGGTTTTAAACCCAGAACCTCCTGTTTATAAGACAATGCTCTACCTCTGCCGTCACACCTCAAATACAACCAGTAATACATGTATTCTTTTTTAATACTAATATGGTGTTTTGTTATCATGTGCATGATTTTTGGTCTTTCTGAAAATGTTATATGATTATAGGGACATTGGTGAGATGCATAGTTGGGGCATCTAATATATAACCAGGAAAAACAAATGTCTAGTTGAATCCATTCTCCGGCCCTCCTTGGGTACATACTGTATATAAAGAAATATAAAATGGACATGTTGATATTTATGTGTAAGCACAGGGATTGCTGTTTTTTTTTTTTATAGGAAGGTATTTTTAAATATTCAAACATTCTCACAATTTACTTGAATAAAGGTTAAGTAATACATACAAAACTGCAATAGTGCAGTGCTCCTATTGTACGGCTCCGAAGTGTAATAAATAATTCTTCACATGTACTAGTATGTTACAGCTACTTCAGACAATATTTCTGTAACTGATTTGAGTGGAGGGTGGGAGCAAGTGCCTTGGTTTGAAATTTTCCATAGAAGAATGTACATGTAATTATATTTATATCTGTCAGTATATTTTATCAGTTATTTACTGAACAATAAATTATTCCTCAAAGATTTCTGTGTGTAGCCTTCTCATGGAGGTCTTACAATGTCTTCTCTCAATGTAGACTGTACATTGGTATTGAATGCTGTGAGATGTGTACCGTAGTAGAGCAGCGAGCACCCAGAATATGCCATCATTATCACTCTCTCTATTTTATATATATTCCTTTCTGTCTCTCTCTCTTTTTGTTTCTTTTCATTATTCTTTATATATCTTTCTTTCTTTCTACCTCTATTTCTCTCATTTAATGTCTCTTTCTATATATCTCTCTCCCTCTATGTACACATCGCTCCTTATACCCCCCTTTCTCTCTCATGTGTTATCCCTCATTCTCTGTCTCTTTCTATATATCTCCCTCCCTCTATATACACATCGCTCCTTATACCCTCTCTCTCTCATTTGTTATCCCTCATTCTCTGTCTCTTTCTATATATCTCTCCCTCTATATACACATCGCTCCTTATACCCTCTCTCTCTCATGTGTTATCCCTCATTCTCTGTCTCTTTCTATATATCTCCCTCCCTCTATATACACATCGCTCCTTATACCCTCTCTCTCTCATTTGTTATCCCTCATTCTCTGTCTCTTTCTATATTTCTCTCTCCCTCTATATACACATGCTCCTTATACCCCCTCTCTCTCATTCGTTATCCCTCATTCTCTGTCTCGTTCTATATATCTCTCTCCCTCTGTATACACATCGCTCCTTATACCTCCTCTTTCTCATTTGTTATCCCTCATTCTCTGTCTCGTTCTATATATTATAATATCTCTCTCCCTCTGTATACACATCGCTCCTTATACCTCCTCTTTCTCATTCGTTATCCCTCATTCTCTGTCTCTTTCTATATATCTCCCTCCCTCTATATACACATGCTCCTTATACCCCCTCTCTCATTCGTTGTCCCTCATTCTCTGTCTCGTTCTATATATCTCTCTCCCTCTATATTACACATGCTCCTTATACCCCCTCTCTCTCATTCGTTATCCCTCATTCTCTGTCTCTTTCTATATATACACATGCTCCTTATACCCCCTCTCTCATTCGTTATCCCTCATTCTCTGTCTCGTTCTATATATCTCCCTCCCTCTATATACACATGCTCCTTATACCCCCTCTCTCATTCGTTATCCCTCATTCTCTGTCTCTTTCTATATATCTCCCTCCCTCTATATACACATGCTCCTTATACCCCCTCTCTCTCATTTGTTATCCCTCATTCTCTGTCTCGTTCAATATATCTCCCTCCCTCTATATACACATGCTCCTTATACCTCCTCTTTCTCATTCGTTATCCCTCATTCTCTGTCTCGTTCTATATATCTCCCTCCCTCTATATACACATGCTCCTTATACCCCCTCTCTCTCATTCGTTATCCCTCATTCTCTGTCTCGTTCTATATATCTCCCTCCCTTTATATACACATGCTCCTTATACCTCCTCTTTCTCATTTGTTATCCCTCATTCTCTGTCTCTTTCTATATATCTCCCTCCCTCTATATACACATGCTCCTTATACCCCCTCTCTCTCATTCGTTATCCCTCATTCTCTGTCTCTTTCTATATATCTCCCTCCCTCTATATACACATGCTCCTTATACCCCCTCTCTCTCATTCGTTATCCCTCATTCTCTGTCTCTTTCTATATATCTCTCTCCCTCTATATACACATGCTCCTTATACCCCCTCTCTCTCATTCGTTATCCCTCATTCTCTGTCTCTTTCTATATATCTCTCTCCCTCTATATACACATGCTCCTTATACCCCCTCTCTCTCATTCGTTATCCCTCATTCTCTGTCTCTTTCTATATATCTCTCTCCCTCTATATACACATGCTCCTTATACCCCCTCTCTCTCATTTGTTATCCCTCATTCTCTGTCTCTTTCTATATATCTCTCTCCCTCTATATACACATGCTCCTTATACCTCCTCTCTCTCATTTGTTATCCCTCATTCTCTGTCTCTTTCTATATATCTCTCTCCCTCTATATACACATCGCTCCTTATACCCCCCTTTCTCTCTCATTCGTTATCCCTCATTCTCTGTCTCTTTCTATATATCTCTCTCCCTCTATATACACATGCTCCTTATACCCCCTCTCTCTCATTCGTTATCCCTCATTCTCTGTCTCTTTCTATATATCTCTCTCCCTCTATATACACATGCTCCTTATACCCCCTCTCTCTTATTTGTTATCCCTCATTCTCCGTCTCTTTCTATATATCTCTCTCCCTCTATATACACATGCTCCTTATACCTCCTCTCTCTCATTCGTTATCCCTCATTCTCTGTCTCGTTCTATATATCTCTCTCCCTCTATATACACATCGCTCCTTATACCCCCCTTTCTCTCTCATTCGTTATCCCTCATTCTCTGTCTCTTTCTATATATCTCTCTCCCTCTATATACACATGCTCCTTATACCCCCTCTCTCTCATTCGTTATCCCTCATTCTCTGTCTCTTTCTATATATCTCTCTCCCTCTATATACACATGCTCCTTATACCCCCTCTCTCTCATTTGTTATCCCTCATTCTCCGTCTCTTTCTATATATCTCTCTCCCTCTATATACACATGCCTCGGTATACCCCCTCTCTCATTCGTTATCCCTCATTCTCTGTCTCTTTCTATATATCTCTCTCCCTCTATATACACATGCCTCGGTATACCCCCTCTCTCATTCGTTATCCCTCATTCTCTGTCTCTTTCTATATATCTCTCTCCCTCTATATACACATGCCTCGGTATACCCCCTCTCTCTTTTATTTGTTATCCCTCATTCTCTCTTTCTTCATTCTTAGTTATCCCCCACATACTCCAGCTTATGTCCGTCTTATATATTTACCTTGTCAGGGGTGCTAGTGAGATATTTACAATTCATATGGTGCAACAAATCCACAAATGAGACTTTATTAAATTGCAGAACAGAGATTTATTGAGATCTTACTCACAACAAAAAACAGAAGCTAGAAAACACAGAAGTGGGGGAAAAATGAAAGAAATACTGATAAGCAGTACCTACGAATCACCATGATAAAACTAAATGTAAACAAAAGAGCAAATTTTCATATGAATTAGAGGAAAAAAGTAAAGAAAGTATCACTATGTACCATACAAACTTTATCACGCAATGCAGCATAGGTATTTGGGTTTCATTTGCAAAGAGTATTTTCTTCATGATTGTGTTCTACATCTCTCATTTTATCTCAGATTTATTTTCTGGGAGACATTAAAAAGGAGCCCATTTTTGTCCACAAGAAATATGATCACAGATTATATAACATGAATATTGTCCACCTTTTAAAACCCCTATTGCATGTTCTAACATCAAACTGTATTGATGGGACTACACGGGGAAATATGAAATACAGAAGTACAGCAATCACAGAAAATATATTTCTTTTCTTACAAAAGTCGTAGATGGTGAATGGCCTGCCACTGCATCCAACTATCAGCCTATGAAAATATAATTTTACTGTTTTTTTAACAAAATACCCTGGCTGGGTATCACCCTGAAAGATACAATTTATTTTCTCCTACAGCTAAGACTAAGGCATTTATTCCCCTGCTATCTATCTCCTGACATAGCATAAACAGCTCATTTTAATACATGCACATGCAACCCCTTCACATAAACATATCTTTGTGTTAATAAGGCACAATGTTGATTTACATGTATCTTTATTCCTTATCTACCATTCCATATTTTTTAAAGTACAATGTGTGATTTGTTTAAACATATTTGTGGCTTACACCCAGTAAAGATCACTTGATCGATCTGTAATTGACTAACAAGTCAGAAAAAATCTTGGATCCATAGAACAAAGTACATGTAATGGTTTCATGTACTGTAAGACCTGTGAAGCTAGAGGGTTATTTTTTCCTAACATTTGCAGCATAGTCAGTCTGAAGGCTATTGAAAGAACATGGATGATTTTGTGTATCCACATTACCATGTACAAAATGGCATACAGCACTAAACAAGTATGGTTTTTCTTTTTTCAATCACATTTTTTGTGGTACAGGAGTATTCAATGTATAAAGTTATAGTCACAAGGCTCTTCTTTTAAATGAACAAATGCAATGTTATATTCTTTTTCTAAGTATTAAACCGGAAACCCTGTAGTATTTCACGCTACAAGTGAATGGTCCTGCCACTGCAACTTGCTAAGCAAAATACATAAAATATTCAGTAAATGTTGTATAAAAAAAACATTAAAAATATTATATAAAAATATGGCAAAAATTGCCCTGTATGACGGTTTAGAGTGCAAGGAAGCGAGTATTTCTAATACTGCTTCTTCCAAGCACTTTTATTTGGTAAAAAAATACAGCATTTGACATCTTATGAATATTACAACAATGTTTATCAATTTACAAAAAAATACATGTAGTTTCAAGTCCAATGGCATAAATTTATTTCAGGAAAGTTTAGTTAGTGCTTTAATGGTGGAATATCATCCTGGGAGTTTCATACATTGAAAGTGTTATATTCTCCATTTTAAAACAAATGAAACGTAGGGAAATTGTATTGCAAACGATTAGCCTTCTCTTTTATCACCCAATTGACGATAACTGGTCGACATTTATGAGTTGGGAAGATTTTCTCATTTAACCCCATTGAAAATAAGCTGTACATAAGGATTGCAATTTTTCAATACACCTGTAGTCAAAAACCCTTGGCAATGCATCTGATTTTGCATGGTACTAAAAGGAAAATAAAATGCTGAATAATGAATGTCTCAAACTAAACTGACAAAGAAAACCTGGCTCATTTTCTAAAATCTCAATTCAAAGAACAGCGTTCATATACTGCATACATATAAGTCATTGGCGTACATCACTCATGCACTAATAAATCAATGCACTTTGATTAATGGGTCTCGTTATATGTACTGCACACATGATTAATCATTCTTCTTATATATATATTTCAGAGTACATACGTTTCACAACATCATAGGAAATTTTGACATACTTCATATGCAGTAGTTATGCATGTTACAATCATTCTTTATTAAATTGAAAAAAAAAACACAAGTGAGTAAATATATTTTCACATGCAGTCTTGATTAATATGATATACATACTATAAACACTTTCATCAGACCTTACATCATAGCAGGAAAGCGTCTCCTTTTTGATCCAGAATGTTAGGAACAACTGCCATGGGATACTTAAGACATTGTATGAATCTTTAGATAAGATATCACCTTTACAAGGAGAGACTCAAATACTTGTCTAATAATTCGGAAATGAATAATACTACATGAATAAGAAATCAAATGAAAATGAATCATAAATTCAACTACAATGCTACGCAATGAATACCACCAAATTAAAATGAGAGAAAAAAGATATAATTACTCGTTGAAAAGAGCTTAACAAGCTTAATTATATTCAAAGATTGGAAAAGATAGAAAGCAAAGAAACACACAAAAATACATGAAGAGACAAGGGACTATTGAACAGAAACTGTTCCAGAAGTCCATTATGTGAAATGAATGTTTCTTTGAACAAAACAGGAATGCTTTACAAAAGAAATTGTAAATATCCACAGAACATCCATATAGGGATCGTGGACATGCAGTTTCTGCTTGCGATTCATTTCACTGGAGGAGTCATATCGGGTCAGGTAAGGTCTGCTGAAAGTGACATAGACTCATGTCGACTATCATCCATTAAGCTAAGGCTTATATAGGGTGACACTTCTTATGTCGACGGCTAAATAAGGATTGTGAAACTACACGGCCAGGAGCAGGCTTTCATTATTAACTGGTATGTCTACATGAATAGACGCCCTCTGTGAGCATCTAGCATGCATTAAACTCCAGCCTACTCCCGACCTTCTATACCGGTTTACTTGCGAGACAACACCCCGAACCAGACCATCTGGATCAGGAACGCCATCATCACGAGGACCATGGATGTCTGGACAGTCCTGGTAGCTCCTCCTCCTGTCGTACTACAGGAGATGGCGTCCAGGTCCTGCACATACTCCGGGCTAAGCCACTTCTCAGTTGTATCCTGAGTGCCAACATCGACCAGCATCTCAGTCGAGTCTTTGAAGAGGAGGTCAGTGTCGCTGTAGGCCTGGGAGTCAAACATTTTGAAGACAGCGCCAGAGTCACTGCCGAATTGTTCCTAAAGAGAATGGCAAAGTACAATCATCAATAGCTAGCCTTAATCAGGGGTAATAGTGAGCACTAAAAAAAAAATAGGTTTTTTGTTTTCCCCTCAACCACGCCCCCCTTGAGTAAAAAAAAAGAAGAGAGGATTCGCGGGGAAAAAATGGCATCTAACAACTTTCCCCCCTTACGAGTAAGAAAATTGGGAAAAATATGGGAAAATTTGGAAAAAAAATAGGACAAAATAAGGAAGAATAGAGAAAATAAGGGGGAAGTCGGAAAAATCAGGAAAAAATCAGGAAAAAATAAAAAAAATGGGAACCCGATTTAAATCGGGTTTTTATCAGGCCTGCTTAATAGAGAAATGTAGAGGCATGAAGAGACACGTCCAGAATCCAAAATGCACAATAGTTATAGTTATGTCTGTTACTTAAACATTCTTTTATGACATACCTGAATGAAGATTGAGCTAACATAAATCCTCATTGAGATGGTATATACATACCAGCTCCATATCCTAACATTGTTGTTCTTCCTCTGTGTGATAAACTTCGATTTTGAACAGTTTTGCAGTTTGCGTTCTAGACACGTCTTTTCATACCACTTTATTTGCTAGGATACCTAAGCCAATATTCTAAGAAATGTTACTGTTGGTGAAGGAAAAATTTCCATTTTTGGGGGCAATAAAATTACTAACATATGTATAACATAAACAACGTTTCTACTAAAAGTCGAAAAGGTGCTGTTTAATTTTTTTTTTTTTAAATCTGATCACTCTGTTTTTCTCACCTGACCGTCAAGTAGGAGACGGGCTATCTCTTGTTTCTGAGCAGTTGTTTTGGTGCTGCTGGTCACTACTGCATGCGATGGAACCTTTGCCAGGTTACATGTCTCCCATGCTGTTATGGGCATGCGAGTGTTGTCCGCACACAGGAGTTCATAATCTGCACTATTCAGGTTCGTACTCCAGTCCTCTGCGCCGTTTCCATCCGTGTTGTCGGGAACGGTCGTGTGCTTCACGAACGCAACATCACCAGCCTGATCTGCCAGGCATCTGCAAAGTGTCAAGTTTCATTAAGGGAACGTTAATCAATGTTAAATGTGAGATGCACGTCCCTACGTGTTATCAGTGTCTGTGATATGGTGAAATATTGAAGCCCTAAAAAAATTGCGCTTCAAAACAATCAAGAAGTGCCTCAAAAAGGTAAAACATTTGAGTGACCAGTTTTACCATACTCGTTTTCCCCAATAGACTGTAGTGTTATGAAAACCGTTTGGCAAACGCAAAATTTGATTTCGATTTTCAGTCATAAATATCTTGATAATCAGACAAGCGATCGGCTTGTAAAAGTCATGGGGTTCCTGGCTGACATAGGTTTATAATTATCATTGCAGCATTACTTAAATCAAGGATTTTTTAAAAGGATCTAAGACAAAGTTACCCGATCCCTTTAAGATTAAAGATCAATGCCTATATTAATCCTATATTAAAACCTGTCTACACTAGTTTAGCCAGGAGGGATTGGACCTCCCTGAAAGGTAACTGACAGTTGGTTATCTCATCAAATCAGAAAAAGGGGATCATGGGGGATCGAAAGACACTGATTAGACATTGTTTGCTCAGGGCCCAAGTAGCTATAAGTAGTGCAGTGGCCTGACTGTGGGGCTTTAAACAGCTATGACACAGTGCAATTTATACTGCCTCCACACTGAACAGAAAATATCATCCAATAGCAAAGATGGGTGTGTTGAGAGGATTGAAAGAGGAAACACATGCTGCCTCAATGGCTCAAAGGGAGGAGGCCCATGGCTCAGTGATTGAGCAGTGGACTCGTAACAGAGAGGTCCCATGCAAGCTCGAAACCCAAGTCAAGCGCTTAGTGCCCTTTATAAAATGGATTCAAGAATGTAGCCAATGAGAAGCGTCAAAATGGATCACGTGTGCGTGCATTAATTTTAACAATAACCCATCTTGGTGATATCAGCCTTGCAAAAAGTGTGCAACAGAAAAGCATAACACACGGCTGCGTGCAAATCAATGGATGTTTACCATGCATTGCACAGTTTGTTTAAGAGGTCACTGCCAAAGGTCACTGCTCTCATGCGATCCTCTGTAGTTAGCTAGCTGTGTGTGCGCACAAATACGCGCCCCTGCTCACTGCATACAATTTTGTGCGATGACAATTACCGAGCAACGAGTGACCCTGTTGCAGGATGGCAGCCTCTAAGAAGCCAAACTTTCAGCTGCTTTCTGAAGAGATTTGATAGTAGACCCATTTTATAAAACAAATAATACACAGGTTTTTTGTTTGTGACGTTTTGGCGATGCAGCGGTATTCAGGTATTCACAATGGCACAAAATACACTCGGCTACGCCTCGAGAATTTTATTGCACCATAGTGAATACCCTCATGCGCTGCATCGACCACACGCACTCACACCTGTGTATTATTTGTATACTGGTAAGCATTGATTATCATTACCAAGCCCCTTGGAGAGGACTAAAAGCCATTGGTCCCTTGGCTGCTTACTTACAAGCATGTTTTCTTAGCAGTCAGGTAAAACAAACAAACAAATATGAGCTGTAGTGAACCACTATGAATGGCCTATATGGAACTCTCTTTACAGGGACTGCTGGTGTGACCATGGCCCCGTCTTACAAAGAGTTGATATCAATCGCAACTTATTTGTGATTGATATACATAAGAAATAGGAGACTACAAACTTGCGATTGAACGGAGGATTTGCGATTGATTTGGATCAATCGCAAATCTTTGTAAGACGGGGGCCTGCTATCAACAATTATCTGTTGAAACTGTCACAGATGGAAGCCATTCAGAAAGATATCAACAAAATTGACCTACATATGTAGGATAGTCAGGGCAAGAGGCTGAAGTACGGTGCAGTAAAGGACCGCAGAATTTTGGAGTGTTACTCTCATGTAAGGTGGCAAGTGCAATAATGCCTGGTGCTATACACTGATACCTGAAACAGCTTATGTTAGCAAAAGTAATTAAAAAAAAATAAATAAACATGAAATAGACATTACCTAAATGCACCAGCGTAGTCATAGTAGGGTTCGTTTGCATTCCTGACGCAGTTGTCATTCCCTGTTCCTATACACAGGGCGCACAAGCTGGATGGGTTGGTCCCGGTGGGATCATACTTGTCTGTCTTTGCTCCAGGAGCACAGCTCCCAGCAGAGAAAAACTCTCCTGTAATCATAATTAGAATAATAATAATAATAATAGATAAGAATTGTAAGGTGCTGAATCCACTAGAACAAGAATGATCGAGGGGCACTTAGGTGCAAAAGATGAAACAATGTTTACACATACAAATATCAACCCAGTAGGATACTACATATGAAAGAGAAAAGTAGAAGAAAAAGTACAAATAATCATAAGCCAAATCGAACAAAATACTTCTTTTGATTGTTTTTTTAATGAGATCCAAATAAGGCTTTCATCAACTTCTAAAAGACAAGATGGATTGAATACATGATCAACCATTTCAGATGGCTTTGTGGCTCGAGACAGAACAATCTGAACAACCGTCAATAACAGGATCGCAAAAAGTTAGCTATAACTCAAAGCACTAAGGCAAACAAAGTTCCTCATTTCATAAAATAAGTATGATAATTTTTCTCACAAAAAAAAAAAAAAATCACCAGTCATGGTTTGGTTTTGCTCAAACTTACCTACAGCCTTGGGTACCTCACAGCCACCATTAACGAAGATTTGTTCATTCTTGATCAAGTGACCTACAGGCACATTCCATCCTGATGTCTTGCCTATACCTGTGTGGCAGGACTTACGACCAGCAAGGTCATCCATGCCAAACTGAGTTCCTTTGCGAGCGATAGCCACAGCCCAGTAGCTTGCGTCGGGATTGTCGCCACCGACATCATAGCTCTCCCCGACGATGGGTGCGATCCTGTCACCACCTGCGTAGAGATCACCTCCGTCCAGGGTTACGACGTCAGCATCACCGGCTGTTCAAGTAACAATAAATTGCAGAAGTATCCATGATGTTACAGTTGTCTTCAAAGTGACATTTAGTATCCATAAGTATCTTGCAGTATATCAAGAAAATTGAAAGTCAATGATTCATTTAATCTTTTCCACAACAAATAGATGGACCAAAACAATACAAGACTTTAATTTGAATTTGTTCCATAAAAGCATTGGACTCCCCCTCCTCCTCATTCTACTCTTCTATTACGTCCTTCTTTCAGTGAAGTCTGTTACACCCGAGTTCCCCTTCTCATTCTTATATTCCATGAACACATGTTGTGTCCGTAACCTTTGTAACTTTTGATGAAATGTCATTATTTCATTATCTTTATTCAATAATTCTTTCAATGTGGTTCTGTATATTAGCTTCACTATATTATAGTTTGTCCATCCATTACAATGCATAAGGACAGGAATTTCTTAGGGGCTACATAAAAGTTGATCACCTGCTGCTCTTCAAATTGGCAACAATAATAATAATTTTTTTGAATGCTTCACTGTTGAAAACAATATTCAATGGTAGATATTTTGTCAAAAGTTGAAAAGGTGGCCGATATTGATTTTCAAACAATCTGTTGCCAATATAATAATTTTAAAGCTTTTCCTTTGAAAAATTCAAAATTCAAAGAGCAATATGGTCATGCAAGACAAATGGACAGTATGTGCAGACATTTCTGCCATTTTAACTAGCGCATCTTGAATACTATTTAGGGCTCTGAATCAGAAGTTATTGAGCCAAACCATACAATGTTGAATGTAATTATAGGGATATAAAAGAAGTACCATATTTGCCGGCGATAAGACCGCACCGCCGCATAGGCCGCACCCCAACTTTGACATTTCAAAGAGGGAAAAAAAAAAAAAAAAAAAAAAAAACAGAACAAACAAACAAACAGACAAAACAAAATAATCGTAATTTTCTCTTAAAACACTATTTTTTTTTTTACAAACTGTTACAATGTACGGTGTAGTGCGAAATTGCATGAAATGGAAAAACAAAATGGCGACTTCAGATGGATGCTTCGCGGCAGGTCTGTTAAACGGTCCCTTCCTTTACTTTTGCAATGCATTAGCACGAACTTGGATCAAGATATAGCGGCAAATGTTGTTTTAGGAAGTTATTTTCGTCTTCATGTCAACATTGCAAGATAAAATTGTCGGTAAGATGTTTGAAAATGTCCTGTACCATAGAGGTATAGTTTTTTTACCGTTTCTAGTCCCATATGTGCAAATTCGTGCTGGTTTTGACTTAGGTTTTTTTTTTTTTTTACTCTTTTGTTTTTAAGGCCGCACCCTGACTATTTGAAATTTTCTCTTTCAAAAATACTGCGGCCTTTACGCCGGCAAATACGGTAAGTTAAATGCATGAAGAGACTGAAAGTGAACCAGTTGATTGAAATGAAATAACATACAAACGATCCTATCCACACAGAGTCCTTTGCTTGTCTCTTCATAGCATGAGATCTGAGGGGTTAAGTTAGCTCCTTTGAATGCAGCACTCATGTCACGACACTTCTTATTCTCAATTGATGATGTTGTGCACCATCTAAGAGAGTTTGCTGGACACATCTTTAATCCTTGAGAGAGAAAGAGAAATAGAGAGAGATCGAGAGAGAAAGAGAAAGGGGAGGAGAGAGAGAGAGAGAGAGATATAGAGAGAGCAGAGAGAGAGAGAGAAAGAGCAGAGATGGACAGATACAGACAGGGAGGAAGAGAGAGCGTGAGATAACATAGAGAAAGAAAGAAAAATAGAGCAGAGATAGACAGAGAGAGCGGAAAAGACAAAAACAAGATGTAAGAGTAATATTGAATTATCATAAACCCTCATGATGGCTTTCTGAGTACTATTGCCTATAGATGCGAACCTATAGAAATATAAAGTAATATAAAGTGCGTTCATAAAAATATATTGTTTTTTTTAACCCAAATCTTGCAGTCACTAGTTTTATATCTGATAAGTGCCCATCTTGCATGTATTTCAACACTGTATGTAGGCAAGCCTCAATCCCGATTAACCAGGATCCTGACTATTTTGTAAAGCTCTTGGAGATAACATTAGACGTACGAAGCAACATTCAGAACATTATGAAAAGTTTATGTAACCTACCATCAATAGTGTTGGCGTAGTCTCCTAGGTATGTCCTGTAGGTCAAACCAGATTCAAGGTTGGCTAGATTCTGTGTGCTGTCTTTGAAGAGCAAATCATTTCCACCATAGGCGACAGAATCAAACATCAGGAATCCATTCTGATTGTTGTCATCTCCAAACAAAGCCTACAAGTGATTTACAGAAGAATAAGTTATCATAAGGCCAAATAACAAAAATAATGTGTTTCTCGTCCTGACTTTTCAAAAAAAGAAGGAGGCAGGGCATTACTGTTTACTATTTTGCCATTTTTTCAAAGATGGCTGCCATGCTTATTGTAGCTGGCCAAGCCTAGTTGTTCACAGATATTGTGCTATGTGAGTATACTGATACAAAGTATGAACAAAACAAAAAATGATTTGTATCACTTAAAAGCTATTAAAACATAATGTAAATCACATCCTTTTTTTCTCTTTTCCCCCTGAATAGCAAAAAAAAGGAGGTGGGGCCAAAAAGGAGGTGGGCGGGGATGAGAAGTATTTCATTCTTGTTATTTGGCCTAATTTTATTTATTTATTACAAGATAAATATGATTAATACAATTTATAATCGTCATCATTTATTAAAGTCTGCATTTTCCCTCTTACACTTCTTCTCGTCTGGAGCTTCCTCCTCATTTAGACCAACCTTACTACTTTCTATACCATCATTCTCCAATATAATAATTTATACAGTAAGCTTGCAGGTGCAACATTTGAGAGAGAGAGGAAGGATTGAGGAGTCCTGAAAAGGACTCTCTGTCATCTTTCTTGAGGGTTTGTAGTCCTGAAAAGGACTGTTGGTATAGTCTTGAAATAGACTGTTGGTTATCTTTCTTAGCTTATAGTTCTAAGGAGAGGATGAGTGGCGGGAGTGGCTCGACGTTACCAACGCTATTAGAAGACTATGCCAACAGTCCTTTTCAGGACTACACACCCTCAAGAAAGATTACAGAGAGTCCTTTTCAGGACTCCTCATTCCTCCCTCTCTCACATGGTGCACCCGCAAGCTTACTGTATATCTACATCACCATGCAAGACGATACTTACAATATAATAATTGCTGTTTATCATCTTTTTAATGCATAAAGTCATTTTCTTTGTTCTAGTTATTATTGAACTAAGTATATATCAATGTACATTTTATAACCTTATTTCATGTTTTCTTGTATATTACTGTAAATATGACAATACAAGTCTCTGAATTTTTACCATGTTCTTTTTTAAAACAATAAAACCGAAATTGAATTGAATTAAAATATCTTTTTTTTTGCCATATCTTTCCTTGAAAACGTTGGTCTTCCTTTCTCTCTTATGCTTTCCATTTCCAGATCCCACGCTCTTGTCACAGGTTCATCATCTTCCCTTCTCAACACATGACCCATCCATCTCAATCCACTTCTCTTAACCCCTTCCACCAGTTTCTTCCAGACCCAACCTTTCCATGAGCTCCCTCATGTTCTTTCTTTTGGACAGTTTACCACCACACTATCTTTTGTAGCTTGTTCTGTTCTCTAAAGATATCCTTTTCTACTGTCTTCACATTATATACCATATACAGTTATAAAATTGTCAATATTATAATCATTAATTCCTGTGGTGTTATAAAGTATCAGAGGTTTCATGACACATGCTCCAGCATCAAAGAGAAAATTAAAGACATAATTGAAAGAAATGAATGTGACAAGTTAACTTACCACAGCTTGGGCGAGGACAGTTTGGAAGGCCGTAATATCTTCGGCTGACGTAGATGGTGATGTCACAATAGCATGGGCAGGAGACTGAAAAAAAGGAGAATAAACTTCAATAATAATCACTTTAATTTTAGGATCTTTGCTGAAGCGATTGCATTGGCTGCCAATCAGACCACGCATAATTTTCAAGACCTTGACTGTTGTGGGTAATTCCATAAATTAGGAACCCACTTTGTGACATTTTTGGTGTCCCACTTACATAACGAGGTATTTGTGGCTCGGAGTAAAGATTTAAAAAGTGGAGTGAAATTGTAAAGTGATTTCCAAGGATAATATTGCATCCTCGTATCTAGAATCACTTAACAATCTCAGTCTACTTTTTAAGTCTTTACTCCGAGCCACAAATACGTGTGGGTTCCTTATGTAAGTGGGATACCAAAAATGACACAAAGTGGGTCCCTAATTTATGGCATTACCCGTATACAAGTTTTTCCCAGGTAAAGCTCCCACCTATCTCAGCTCTCTCATTATTCCTCACCCTTCTGCAAGACCGGGGGGGGGGGGGGGGGGGGGGGGGGGGGGGGGGGGGTGTTTCACAAAGATCTTAAGTTGAACTTATCTCTAAGTTGGACTTAACAATTATGGAAAGCTGTTGCCATCTTTGAAAATATTTTGTAAAAGTTGTTTTAAAAGGCATAAGATGTTAATTCAAACCATTCATATTTTCAAATATCAAGGAGATTTCATTTTCGAGATGTGGAATTTATGAAAAGTCTAAAATACTTGAATTTCTGCTTTTGAATATATTTCATTTTAAGGCTACAAATGGCTCTCCATAATTTTTAGGCCCAACTTAGAGTTAAGTTCTACTTAGGACCTTTGTGAAACACCCCCTGGCCTTTGATTAAGTTCAGACTGCCCCATACTCCCATGTGCCCAGAACAAACAGTTAAGTTGGTGATAATGCTTTTCAGGCCTCTACACCACAACTGTGGAATGACCTGCCATGATCTGTCCACCAGTATCCTTCATTAGATGCTCCTAAGAAGGCTCTCTAAACTCTCCTATTCATTGATTATCACTACCTTTTGCTAGTTGTATGTTAATTTGTTTAAACTCTGTGAAGCTTTGAAACGGTCTTATAGATGTAAAAGCATTTTATAAATGATTTTGTTATAATGGAACTGAATGAAGAGATATAGGGAAATATGCCATCTGCTTGGAGCCAGAGAAGCCTTATTGTATTAAAGATAAAGGTGAGTTCTGGTAATGCGATTGCATTGTGAAAGAAAAGGTGTGGAAAGGATCAGAAACAGTTGATCATGTAGCATGTAAGTACTGGTGTGCACTGCAAGGTTCTGGAGTCATCAAAATCATAATAAATTTGGCCGAGTCTTGGTAAAGTAACAAGCACTGTACACAGAAAGCTATATATGGGACAACACACATGGTGTCGGGGCTAGTACTACATTAATTTCCTTGTCTTTCTATGCTCATTACTCAACCAGTATACATTTTCTTCAAAATTGTTTGGCACATGTCATTTATTTGTAAACTTGAACATTCAGTGTAAGTTTCGTTTGATTCTGTGAGAATTAAAAATTTTTTTTTTTACCAGAACTGGAGTTTATCTTTAAACACAAAAGTTATTCTGGCCTGCAGTTAATGCCCTTCAAATTACAAAATTTTAGTTACCATAATTACCAAGAACTAGGTCTTTGGCATATCTTACACATCTTTCCTGCCACTAAATTGTAATAAACTACCAGAGTGTTTATTTTTTCTTTTAAGTCACACAACAGGGCCCTATTTCACAAAACTTGTCATCAGTGACAAATGAAAGTTTTTGTTATAAGCTACAGAAATCTTTGCTTCTGATTGGTTGTCAACAGATATGTCACTGATTTTTGTCATTTATCATTGAAAAAAGGCTTTGTGAAATGAGTCCCTGGTGTTCAAGAGTCTAAATTGCTAACACCGTCAGACTCTGTAATTTCCCCTGCTTCGTTCTAGGATACCTTAGCTAGGTTGCAGGTAGCAGCATTGTCGATAGTAGACTGAGTGTTATCGGGACATAGAAGCCTGAAGTCTGAAGACATAAGGCCCCTGTTCCAATCGAGCTGTCCATTTCCATCGGTGTTATCAATAACTGTTTGAGGCTTGATGAAGGCTACATCCCCGGCACTCTCAGCGAGGCATCTGTATGGTGGAAAGAGTGAGACAAGATGTTGATAATCAATCAACAAAATCAGCGTACAGCTAACTGAATTTTTCATGACCTTACCATGTTTTTAATTTTTTAAGTCCTGTACATGAAAATTGATTTGTCCTAATTTATGTTCGTTGAGAATGTATAAAAGTATTTGACTTGGATGTGTTGTGGGATTGGCATAACTTTACTCTTTTGACTTTAACAATTTTTTAAAATGACATTGATATATTATATATTCAAACAGTTCATATTTTTTTTATTTTTCAAAATCATAATATTTCAACTCGAGGTGCACTTGGCAGAGGCTCGCTTTTCTTTTTTCCGGTTTTGATGAAAACATACCTCAAGACTGTACGATTCTCCTCTCTTTCTATTTTTCTTGTTCTACTCTGTCCTTCTCTACCCCTCTTCTCCAATCTTTTGTATATTCTATGATTAACTTTTCTTTCTTTTTCTTCTTCCTTCTATTCCTCTTTCTAGTTCTCTCTCTCTCTCTCTCTCCTTTTGTGATGACACACAAGGTTTTTAAAGTTTTTAATGTTTTTAATATTTGTAATATATTTACATTTTGATGTAATATGTGATTTTCATTTGGTTTCATTATGCATGATTTATAGTCGTACGTTTTAGTCATTCATATTTTGATCGTTTATTGTGTTGTATATTGACTTTGTAAATTGGACAATTTCAGCTTCCCAGATGCATGTTATTTTATTGCAATAAACCGAATCAAAGCAAATCAAATCAAATTTAACAAGAGCCCTACTGAACCAGTCCATCTTTAATTACTGAGTTACGAAAACAAGAAAAACAACAACATCAAATTTACAAGGAGTATAAATAATTTGATCGTCATGTATGTATGGGATTTGTGCATGGTATACAATGTGCATGCAGGGATATGTCTGTGGAGACATGAAAGCTTATGGCATGTTTAACATACTTCACAGGAGAGGCAGATTTCACCCCGCCTTTTAATAAAGAGTAAAATGTTCAATGTTCCAAGTGCCCAATCTTATGAAGCAGTTCCACATGACATGTGATTGTTTGTTGTAGTTTCCCATTGTATCTTTATTGTGTTTCTTTCTTTTCTTAAATGTAAAAGTATGTGTAGTATTTGTCCACCTTATACTGTCTTAATTGTGTACAGTCAGGCAGTAGCCTAGGCTTGAATGCTCCTTTCTACATGCTTTCTCTTGTTATATCCAATAAATAAAGGATTTAACAAATAAGATGTGCAACAAAAGAAGGAAAAAAAAGAAAGAAGCAGAACAAATTAAAATAAATAACAAAATGTCGAGTTCGTCAGCAGACAAGCATCATAATTCAAAGATACCGGTACTGAAAATTCTCAAATCCATGTGCTTTTTTACAGAAATTCCTCCGTCTATAGACACGCTTAATGATATAGGTACTGAACAATTCCTGAACCCACCCCCTTTATAACAGAAACTCCTGTTTCTACAGACACGCTTCATAATTCAAAGTTGGTACTGATAAGTACCAACGCTCACACCCACGCTCTCTACAAAAGATTGAACTCTTCTTTGTCTGCAACACATCCGTCAGGTACAAAAGCAGCTGTTTCATCAACAATAGAATATGTGACAAATTTGGATCAATGTTAAACAATGTTGACACCGCCTAGCTCTGATCTCACCAAACCAAATGCCCCGGCTCCATATGGAGTTTACCCATATCCTTTGTCATATTATATATTGCATATATATACGGCCATAAGGGTATGACCCTAAAGGAAAGTTCACTCTGTGTACATATCTAGTACATAACAAAAGAGGAATACAGCCATATAATGATACTGAGAATCATGACGCCCACTACTACTTTGAAAACATCGAGAATGGCTGTGTAGAAAGACATACATGTATTGCCCCCAGGGGTAACATAAACCCACCCTTGACCATTTTATTATTGTTTTGGTTTCGCCAGGAATACAGACTGGTCAAATGGCCTAATCCATCAAAGTTATGAGTCATGTTTCGGGCTATACTGTATGACTCGTAGGATTTCCCTGAATTCAAGTTTGGGGGAACATGAAAGGAAGTGGACCTGTTGACCAATGGGAATTGAATATTGTATGACCCTTCCCACTTTCTCAAACTGTTGTCCAATAATATTTTAGGAAAGTCCTGCACTGGTCCATGTATTGTAAATGTGGTATATAAGTGCGTGTAAGGAGGAGAGCTCCTCAGAAGAATGATCGGCGAAGAATAATCGACGGAGAAGAGTTGACAAGAATTGTTAGAGTCGGGTTGAGAATCGAAATGTAGAACTCAGACTTTTAGAAGAATTGAGAAGAACTATATCAGTCAGATTGAGAATCAACACCGAGAATAGTGACAGAGCCCAGAACTAAGAACTCAGATTCCGAAGCCGAATCAGAATGGGAACATTGTGATTACTGAGCAACACTAAAGACTCTAAATCAGAATACAACTACAGAGCATCGTTCTTCGCTAGTCGATATAAAGGGGTGTTGACGGCCCCAGAATGCTGAACGAAACTTCATAAGTCAATGACAGAACTTCATTGATTCAACAAGTTGCAGTGACGGTGTTCGTGGTGATTGCCTAATCATCTGAAGCATGACTGACGTAGCTAGGGAGTTGCAACTGGACATCCAGAGGACGACAACGACGATCGCACTTCGAATCGGATCCAGTTCGTTGTTGAACTTTAAGAGAGCTCTCGCGCACACCCCCTCGCTTGATTTAAGTAGCGGTACCGTGAGTAGATTTAAAATGAGATTGATATTTTGCTGTTCGATTTGTTGTTGATGATGATGAATGTTATACTTATATATTAATTAAAGGACCATGTATTAAGTAAATATAATTATACTTCCTATCGACCATTATTTAAAAGTCTACTTACCTCAACATAAGACGTGAGAATGTGTGGTGGTCTATGTGAGTAAAGCCAGTCAATCCAGTCAATTATTATTATCTGAACCCTGGCATAATAATTTAAAAGTGGTTTCCCCTGCGACTATGCAACGGGTTACATATGATTCTAGGCTTCTGATTGGTCAAAAGTGCAGGCATGAAATTTGCTACGGGCTGCTTGGCAGTCTAGTGAAACATATTGGCCTGGCATAGTTCTAATTGCGCCTTTTGCACATCTTGTTCAAAGAGGCTTGAAATTAGAAATCACAGATGAATAAGAAAAAATAAAATGAACCTGATGATAATTGAATTTATACCTCATTACCTGGAAAAATCCTGGTAACGGAAAATCACACAATGAAAGATAAATAATCTCATCATCGGTAATGGCAGTCAGCCAATGAAACATTTATAGTATATTGTTCTCAATTTAATTGCCTCTTAAACTGAAGCACTATATTCAGACAATGTAATTGGAGAATGTGAGAAATAGATGGCTAATCTACATCCTTATTATTAAAGTTATTACAGCTTCAAGTGGCATGAGATTCATGATAGAGTGTAGCTATGTTAACACGAGACAGATGAAGTTTTAAACTTCAAGCTTGCAAAACCCCCAAACAACAAACTACTAATGACAAGGGTCACGCATGGCTGAACAGCAAAATGTTCAAACAAGCAGAGAAAGAAGTTGTTCTAACTACAGGCTGGAAAATTTTTTATTTGTGTCCATGCGGCAAATACCTTTAAGGGAGAACCTCCCCCAGCTCGTATTACTGCAATAACCATAAGATCGCTTGTGGTTTTGTAACTTCAAGGGAACTTAAGTTTCCAAACAATCCTAAACAGTCAACAGTCCTCAACTGTATGTAATGATGTATGTAAAACTAAAACTTTAAACCAAAAGATAAATTTAAAATTAACAGACTCCAGTGGTAACAGATTCCCATGTGAACTTAGCGATTTGACAGCTTCAAGTAGCATGGGTTTCATGATTTATCAGTGATTTACTCTACCTGTATAATGAGATTTTTCAAGGGCGAGTCATTAATTTAACGATGGAATAACAAAATTGCGTGTACACATACATCTGTAATTTCAGGGAGAGAATAAGAGCAAATGCCATGAATTCAATGATATTACTGAAAATGTTATTGAAGGCGATGTCCCTGAGCAATCAACCTGCTTAAAATGAATCGGCAATCCTTCTTTTTCTGGTTCAATGGTTTTTATATCAAAACTAATACATATATACATGTATGCTAAAACATGTTGAAAATTAAAATCAAATTTACTCTCTGGTATTACGTGTGTGGAAGATATTTACTTCTTGTATGAAAAGGTATATAATCAAATACATTCACTCCCAAGATATGAAGTTTGGACCGCAGACAGGAAGTTTGTGTACTTTTGCTTTCTACACAATAGGTTCTACAAGTTTCAAAGCAGTGTTCAATTGTGGTTTGGGGGTGAGAAAACAGTCAAATAATTTAGCTGAATGTTGATCTATACCAGGGCTCAACGCTAACAGACATCTGTGACACATAGGTGGCAAATTCCAAGCTTGGACCCCTAAATGTTGTGATTTTCACACAGGGCTGGTATACATACAGAATTTAAGAAGGTAAATCCGGACCCCTTTGAAAAAAGTGTGTGTGGAGCCCTGCCTATAGAGACACCAGGCCTGATAATAACTTGATTTAAATTGGTTTCCGGATTCCCCCCCCCCCCCAATTTTTTCTTTTCTTTCTTCCTGATTTTACCCCAATTTTCTTACTCAAAGGGGGGGGGGGGGATGTTAAAGATGCCATTCCCCCCCCCCAAAAAAAAAAAAAAAAATCCTTCTTTTTTTAAACTCAAGGGGGGGGGGGGGGGGGGAATGGTTGAGGATTTAAAAAAAAAATTTAGTGCTCACTATGACCCCTTAAACACAAGTGGGCCCTGTTTAAAAAAACTTGTTATCAATAACACCTACCACAGATCATTGCCTACTTTAGATCATTTTACTTATAGCCAATCAAATACAATGATTTCATTAGCTTGTATCATCCATTGTGATGCAAACTTTTATGAAATAGAGCCCTGAGCCCCGTCAGTCAATATATCTATAATCTTTCTATAATACAGGGCCTAGATCAAACATTTCACGAGTCAATCAACGCTTTCACAAACAAAACGTTATCACTTAATTTACAATATTAATATTTGCCTAATGAGCTCGATATCAGATCAGGAATCATCAAAAGCACTTCAGATAATCATACACCAAACATATTTTCAGAGTATTGTTTTTTTTTAATGCTTTCACAAAGAAAAAGTTATCACTTGGTTGATTTTCAAAAATAATAAGCTTGATATCAGATCATGAATCATTAAGCACTTCAGATCATTGTACAACAAACATATTTTTTTAGTATTGTTCTATTTGTTATCTTCCTATCATGTATAAATTGGCCAAAGTCCAAAATTTGGTGCATTGTGTTATTCTTTGTACATTTACATGTACTTGGTCTTAGTCCAATGACTTGACTGCACCCATTATTGTTCAGTAACTCAGCAGGTATGAGATAGAGAAATTCCCCCAAAGGAGGAAGATTAAATGGGGGCCCGGGGCAACACCCTAAGCAGAATGCAAGGGGGCAGCATCCTTTTACAGGGGTAAAAGGGGCTCGTAGAATATATTTAGGTAAAAGGACACATTTTCCTTGCATTTAAATTCTAAATTTGAGAAATATTTGTTACCCCATCATGCTCACAGGGACTCTATGACATTTTTCAGATGGGAGGGAAAAAATGCTATAATGCTAGATGTACGATTAAGTGTAAATCTGAAAGTTTAAGTTTGTTTCCGTCGTGAAATCTTGAAATTGGCGGAGGAATCCCTGCTCAGTATTGTCCGGTATCTATTATTGCCCAGTACCTCTCATTGTGAATTTTTTTTGTGAATTCTGAACCCTTTTTCAATTTTCAGAATGGTATGATGTTGTCTTTCAGAATAACTTAACCTCCCAAAAGCTGATTTTCACTGGTCCAGGGAGTCGATCATTAGACCTACCGGAATGCTCCAGCGTAGCTTTGGTACAGCTCCGAGGAATCAGCAGGACATTGCTTGTTGGTACAGATCCCACACAGATTCGGAGGGTTGGTTCCGTAAGGGTCATTCCTCTCCAAGTAGGCACCTGTATATTGGAAGCAGATATACACAAAAACAATGAAGAGTGAAATTTGGCCAAATACATTGTTATTGTTAAAGCTAAAGACCAGTTATGGTCATGCGATTGCATTGTGAAAGAAACGTTGTGAAATCGATCAGAAAAGGTTGATCATCTAGCATAGATGTACTGCAAGGTTCTGGAATCATCAAAATGATAAGAAATTTGGCCAAGTCTTCATAAAGTTAGAAGCACTGTACACAGAAAGATGTATATGGGACTACACACAAGTGCGCGAGACGTGCATTTCATATCTCTCAACAGGCGAGAGATACACTAATTTACCAAATATATCAATTAGTAGGCGGTTTCCCGTCAAAATTTTTATCATGTAATATTCAAAACATATTCTTTTACATGATTGGTAATAAGAGCTTCCATTTCATTTTTTGAAATTGGGGCGTTTCCAATACTGGTCTTTACCTGTAACAGTGACCTGGCTCCTCAAAACACAATCCATCATCCAAACAAATTATGGAAAATTTATGTCCAAAGATACTTAATTGTCAACCAGAGCTGCCAACCTTGTGCGACCAAAAAAAGGAATCATGATGGCAAAAAAAAAGGAATTTCAAGCAAAAAAAAAAAGGAATTCATAAAAACGAAACTTACAACCACACGGGACACACTTCCAATGCAGAAATGTTCATTCCCCACGCTTTTTTTTCTCCATACAAGCAGGGTTTCTTGTTTTGGTTATTTTGGTTTTTGACGTGTGGTATGTAAAAAAAAAAAAAAAAAAAATTATAAAAAACATATTTTATGAAGTAAAAACGTAATACCGTCATTGGGAGGAAAAAACGGAGTAATTCCGGGAAAAATGGAATGGTTGGCAGCCCTGGTCAAAGTTTTGGATCAATTTGATTAAGAATCACGATCCCACTCTACTCTGAATGGCATATAGTGCGTAAATTGTATAACTGGGCGGGGCTACCGTAAGCAAGCACCAATGATCGGCCAGCTGTTATGTCAGTTTCTGAATTCAATATTACTTTCATCATCATTTTCTAGCCTCGATCTACACTCCTTTCACGATATGGTGATTCTCTGTAGAACATTTCTTTACACAAGTTTTGTATAAATTATAATAAGTAACATACCATACAAACATTACAGTTTTTTTTCATTAACCTTCAACGCTGTTACCAAGTCACTTTAAGTTGAAGAGGAAGTAACAAAGATGATTAGAGACTCACCTGGGGCGCAACTCTGATTGAAGAAGTTAGATACAGCATTGATATCATCCCCACAGTCCACCGCCTCCATGTAACCAGCCTCCAGGAGAAACCCAACAGGAATGTTCCATCCTGCTGTCCTCCTGACACCGGTGTGGCACGAGTCCTTACCCTTCAAGGTCTCAAGGGTCAGAGTGGAGTCTGTGGCTCTCACTACAGCGATCCCAGCGTATCGGTCTGCAAGGTAATTATAATAGTTAGAACAAGCAACCAGAGGACTGAAGGCTTTAGGTCCTCTCCGAGGGACGTGGTAATGAGGATTAATGCCTTACCTTATTGATCGGCAATCTGAAATTATTATCCGATCTCACTTGATCGGCCCCCGATCCGATGATCGGTTACAGGGTTAGCCTACCAAAGGGCATTAGCTCATCGACTTGGTTTCGAACCTGGGTCGCGTTCTGTGCAATGAAATGGCTTTGCAAAATTACCCATTACTGGGTTCTGTTTCATAAAACTTGTTATCTATAACAAATGCTGAATTTCTATGACAAATTTGCTCTCAACCAATCAGATGCCATGATTTCAGTAGCTTATAACAGTAGCTTGTAACTTGTTATTGATATCAAGTTTGCTCTCAGCCAATCAGATGCCATGATTTCAGTAGCTTATAACAGTAGCTTGTAACTTGTTATTGATATCAAGTTTGCTCTCAGCCAATCAGATGCCATGATTTCAGTAGCTTATAACAGTAGCTTGTAACTTGTTATTGATATCAAGTTTTATGAAACAGGGCCCTGGTCTTGGTTCGCTCCTTGACAACCATAACACTAGTATAGTATTAATGACTGCTTTGAGAGAAATAGTTGTTTTTATACGCTCAAGGGAAGGTTAGAATTGTGCTATTGCCCGAGGCGTGCCGAGGGCAATAGCCCAATTGTAACCTTCCCGAGAGCGTATAAAAACAACTATTCCTCGGATATTAAAGCAGTCATTAATACTTTTATATGCCGAAAAAAAATAAAATAAAAAATAAAAAAAACTTTTGTCGAAGATGGGATTTGATCTCTTGCGTACAAAAGGTGATGTAACTAAAATCACCGCCTTTAACCGCTCGGCCATCGCGCTCTGTTACCTTACCGAGCAGTTTTCTCTAATATATACATTAAAATGGATTGAAAACGGCTTTGCGTGGTGGATGCTTCGCGGCTGCTCGATTAAACGGGCCCTTCTTTTACTTTTGCAATGCATATTGGCACGAACTTAGATCAAGATGTTGTTTTTTTTGTTTTTGGAAGTTTATTTTCGTCTTCATGTCAACAATGCAAGATAAAAATTGTCGGTAAGATCGATCGAGATTCAATTGTATTGAAATTACCGACCAATTCTTCGCACACGTATGGTATCCTCGATCGCTCGGACCATTTTTTAACATGTAAACCTATAGGGTAACCATGGAGACTGAACTATTTTCCCGGTAACCATGGTTACTGGGATTTTAGAACTGTTTTAACCATGGTTACTGGAATTTTACAGAAATAGTTAAAGTTTATGAATGCAATTTCGACCAATCAGATGGCTGGATTTCTTAAGTGAGGTATATAATAAAGAATAATCTTGTGCAGGAAATAATCTTGAGCCCTGTAATACTTCTATCCCATGATAAATACAATGTCACACACAGAGATTATTTGTGTGGCATATGAAGAGTTAAAGGGTTTACTCATATTACATTGGGTCTTAATAGAAGTAGAAACTAGATGGAATTTTGACTGCGTGCAGTCGAAAATGATGCCTCCGCCATAGAGCAATTTAAACAAGTTTGGAGTTTAAATCTCCAGTGGTTCTTGAGATATCATCCCTTACCGAAAATGCAGGCTTATTTAGCCTGCTTTGAACCTGCGTCTGGCCTGCATTCTTAAATACATGCTAATTATTATTTTGCATGTTAAATTTTAGCCTGTATTTTGCAAAATCAGTCTTACATGTTTTAGCAGGTTAAATTTTAGCCTGCATTTTGCAAAATCAGTCTTACATGTTTTAGGTTAAATATTAGCCTGTTATTAGCATGCATTTTGCAAAACACAGTCTTATACAGTTTAAGCAGGCTAAATCTCAGCCTGCAGTTTAAAATTAGCATGCGTTTTGCAAAATACAGTTTTAGCAGGTTAAATCTTTAGCATGCCAGATGAGATGCAGTTTAATCTTTAGCATGTAAATTTCTATCATAATTTGTTAAACCTGCAATCTGAAGAAATGTCCTCTGAGCAGGTTTATAACACAAATTTAACCTGTTATTGCTTTTTACATGTAGCCTGCAGGTTATTTTTCACATGCACGTTTAATGTTATATATCAGGGGTGATTTGAGAGTTTAAACAAAAATAGGTTCATAGAAAGCCGAGCAAGCGAGGTTTCGAGCGCTTGGGGAGGCATCCCAAGACAAAAATCCAATTGAAACCAATTGAACACCAATTTAATTTTCATTTTTTCAATTGGTATTTAATAGGACTTCAGTTGGTTTCAATTGGTCAAGTTTGGCCCTATTGGACCAATTGGCCTAGGCCCCATTAGACTTTAATGGGAACTCAATTAGTTTCAATTGGACCAATTGGCTCTATTTTGGACTTCAGTTGGTCCAATTCAGTTTCAATTTCAGTTTATTTTCATATTTCACATGTTTATTTTATTACATTTGGCATGTTACATTTTTTGTAATTATTTTTTTGGGGGGGATGCATTTATACAAACAAACAGAATAAGACATAAGACTAAGTTAAATAAAGGAAGAAATATGATGGAGCCTAAAGAGAGAGCAATGCTTTTAGGTCGTAGTTATAACATTGATATAGTCTTGTGTTTATTAGATACATGTATCATAATTGGATTAAATTGCAACTTATATGAAGAAAAGATATATTTGAAACCAATTGAAAACCTTACAGTCTATGGGGCTGATTGGTCCAATTGAAGTCCCATTTAAGTGGGGCCAATTGGTCCAATTGAAACCATTTGAAATATCTAATGGGGCCAATTGGTCCAATTGAAACCAATTGAAATCTCGATTAGAGTCAAATGGGGCCAATTAATTGGTCCAATTGAAACCAATAAGACCAATAGATCTACCAAATAGGACCAATATAAACCAATAAGACTAATTGAAACCAATGGGACCAATAGAAACCAATAGAAACCTTCATTTATGTTAGCCTGCCTTTTCGATTAGCATGCTAAAATTAACCTGCAATACGTATCTCATGAATATTCATTATTACTTTACACGTCTCACAGAAAAATACATTTATCATGATTAATTGTTAAGCAACTTATGACAATTAATGCACATATCAATTTTGTGATTGTATTTTTCTTTGGCAATTATTGACCAATAGATTATTTGTCTGATCACACTTACATTCATGTTTTAGCAATAGATATATTGATTATACGATTACTAACCAATTTAAATAGCATGTATATTTTCTATATATACGTGTATGAGCCTGTACTTTTTTAAGTCAATCTTGAATTAACTTCAAATGATCTTTGTGATGGAGTTAGTCTAATGCAATTGAGATTAGAATATTCCTATTGGTGGACACTTGCAAATATTGATTATGATATATCAATTTATCCCCCGTTCCTCTATCCGAGTCGATATACCAATAGAAGTCTTGTACTGATAATGATGGCAATCAAATATCTTCAATTTTGTTAGCCTGCATTTTAGATTAGCATGCTAAAATTAACCTGCATAACTTACATATTTCAGCGTTTTTGCAGGCTAACAAAGCAGGTTAATTTTGCATACTAAAAAAGCAGGGCAATTTTGCAGGCTAATTGAGCAGGTTAAAATGATTTTGCAGGCTAAAATAAGCCTGCTTTTAAAATGTACAGGCTAAATTAAGCCTGCCTAATTTGCATATTTCGGCGTTTTTGCAGGTCAGTGCTTGCTAAGGAATTAGCCTGCTTTTTAGCAGCTATGCAGGCTTGATGCAGGCTATAAGCAGGCCTGCCTTTTCGGTAAGGGATGATAACAATCTCAATGTATGGAATTTCATAAGTTGACCTCTGTGACCCTTGACCTTTGACATACGTGCTCCAAAATCTAATCAGATCGTCTTCCTATGGTGATACATACTATCCTTAAGTTTGAAGTTTAAATCTCAAATGGTTCTTGAGATATCGCGCTAACAAACTCAATACAAGGAATTTCATAAGTTGACCTCTGTGACCTGTGACCTTTGACCTACGTACTCCAAAATCTAATCAGATCGTCTTCCTATGGTGATAAATACTATTCCCGAGTCTTAAGTTTAAATCTTAAATGGTTCTTGAGATATTGTGATAACGGTCAAACGGGACGGACGTACGGACGGTCGGATGTACGGACGGACAACCCGAAAACATGATGCCTCCGGCACCACCTTCGGTGGCGGAGGCATAAAAATAGTGAAACAGATCAGCGGAAGTGACCTACATGTACATGTATATCATATCACATCAAAGAGTTGCTGACTTGTGCCTGAACTTCCTTATTATTTAATGGATTCTGCTAAAACTTTCACTCATCTGCTTTTCTAATACTTTTGCTTAAACATCAGGGTGAACTTCCCCTTCAACATGATACAAATGGCATCTTCATTAAACAGAGTGCAGATCAATTGATATATTACCTTGGGCATATGTTTCCTGTACAATGGGAACCAAGCCATACTCCTTTCCTGCTAGATAAACATCCCCTCCATCTAGAGTTATCATGTGAGCTTGGCCGTCTTGAACCTTCATCAAACAATCCTGTATATAATAGCAACAATAATGATAATATTAATAACAATAACACCAACAATAATGGTATCAACAACAATAATAACAACTATAATACAAATAACACCAACAACAACAATATCAATAACAGAATAAAAAATGAAAGAAGAGATATATATTTGTTAACATTCTCTGCATGTACTATACAAACGAATAAAGCAATGCTCACAAGGGATATCATATACAGTAGTTGCCAATTTTGTTTGTGGTTCATTACAACTAACAATTTGGTAACTATCTTAATCTTTGAGGTTATTAATATCAGATTTCCATCATCAAACTGTCACCAAGTTTCTCTTCTTTCTTCTGCTATCAAAACCAATCTGACTTTAGGGTGAACTTCTCCCTTAAATATGCTGGTACTCGTGCGATGATTATTAGATGCATCTAGCTTCCTTTGATTATTTGAGCGGATGATCGCAGACGAACAGATGTTGAATACAACACAGAATGCCAAACTAACACATGTGGGTAGGCAATGATATTCAAACCTCCATTATAATTTCAAAAACATATTCTGAAACAGGAAAAACATCATCTTATCATCTTAACATTGTATAACAACATATTTGCAATAATCATATTTTGGGTGAATGCATGAGTGAAAATGATCTGATTTTGTTTCTCTCATTTTCCTGCTGCTATCAAAGCCAGAATAAGATCCGGTTTGACTTCTCCCATGAATATGCTGGTACTCAATAATGATGATTATTAGATGTACAGTGTACATGTATGTAGCATCCTCAGATCAATAAAGAGGAAATTCACAAACAGGTGTTGAAATCAATAGTTGAATACAACACAGAAGGCCTAATCTAGCAACTGTGTCAGATGTGTCTAGCCAATGGCATTCATACTGTGATTATAATAAAAAACCAGTCATATTCTGAATCTATATAAAAGTACAAAAAAATCAAATAAAAAACAAGGTTTAACTGAAAAATCATGAACTTCTGGTGGAATTTGCGATGCAACTACCCCCCTACTCACAAAAAATCTTCCCTAGAAAAACCATGCTGTAAAGTGTGATATTGAATACTCCACCATACATGCCAACATTTGAAAATCAGAAATCTGTACAAATTATGCTATTTTCAAAAAAAAGAGGAACAATCCTAACTCTCCTATTCAATACTAAAGACAAATTTGTACAGGAAGAGGAACACCTGCATTAAAATGATAATTATCTTCTCCCAAAAAGAGGAATGTTCCTCTTTAATCTGAACAGTTGGCATGTATGCTCCACATGAAACTCTGCATTTTGTTGCCAATGTAAAGCTACAGTCCCATATACGTCCCGGACCGTCCCGGACCATCCCGGACCCCATCCGGGGTGATCCGGGATTCGGTCCGTGTTGACACCGTGTTGGCACCGGGGTGGTCCTGGATGGTCCTGGATGGTCCTGGGCGGTCCGGGAGTCGACCCCGGATGTTTTTGACGGTCAAAAACTGCCGGGGTGGTCCGGGACAATAGTTTGATCCGGGGTGATCCGTGTAGCCACCGTGCTGGGTCCGGGGTCATCCGTGGTGGCGCTGGGGCGGTCCGTGTTGATCCGTGGCAGTCCGGGAGTGAGTTATTGACCGCCCAGGACCATCCAGGACCATCCAGGACCATCCAGGACCATCCAGGACCACCCCGGTGCCAACACGGTGTCAACACGGACCGAATCCCGGATCACCCCGGATGGGCTCCGGGACGGTCCGGGACGTATATGGGACTGTAGCTTTTAAAGCATCACACTTTTTTGAACAAAACATCCCGGACCATCCCAGATCACCCCAGACCATGGTCCGGGATGGTCCGGAGTGGTCCGTGCTCGTCCGTGCTCGTCCGGCTTTATATGGGACTGGGGCTTAAACGCTTGCTCTCAAACTACAGGCACTCTGCTACTTCATCAATTTTTAAACTACTGGTATTCTTTGGTTACCTGTTTGACTTCTTCTTTTGTAATGATTTGTAGATAGATGGTATATCCAAAATGGATTATAATTCAATAAATCATGGTGTGTATCATTACGGCCGGGTATATAGAAGAATAAACACATTAAAGGTAGTTTTCAAAATTGAAGAATGCATTGAAAGAGCATAAATCACCTTGTACAGGCAGCAACCTCATGACCCCTCCTGTTCTAATTTACATTGTTCGACAAGGAATAATATTTTATGGGCAGGGCTGTCAGGCAGTGAGCACATACAATTCAGGAAAGAAGGCCCCTCAAGCTCAATGTAATTTCCCCACAAAAAGATCTCTGCCAAGGAAAACTTTCTGAAACATCATAACAGGAAGGGCACTTTGCCATAATTACGCATGCTTCAGAGCAATATTCTCCAAGGCTATCTGAACAAAACATTCATAAAGGTTGTGTATGCTCTTCTGTTTGCTGCTTCCCCTCCCTAAAGATGAGCTTCATCATTTACTGCTGCCCCTCCCTCCCAGCAGAAAACCATCACAGCCTTTTCGTTAGCTGATTCCCCTCCCTCCTGAAAAATCATGATCATAGTTATACCCGCAAGCTTAACCGGGGTGTCTTAATCATTTAAATCTAAGGCATGAAAAGTGTGAAGAAAGTGCTGAACAGAAAAATGTAACATCATCTTAAACAAACAAGCACTGAAACTCAGGGCAGGAATCCATTAAAGGGACTTGGTAACATTGTTCAGATGAGAGAAAGTGGTGCTATAAGGTAGTGATTTCATCGCTAGATGTACAATTAAAGATAAGCTGAAAATTTAGGTGAAAACAGACCATTATTAATAATATAAATTGGGAAAAACTGATCTGCTTGATTCCTAAATTCTCCAACTATATTATTACAATCTAATTACTTTTTAGGTGAATGTAAATTGTCACAAAGCAATAATTTGGCTCTACATGTACATATCATTCCAGACATTTAAGTGTTGAAAGATCTTTAATAGCGGTGTTCAATAGAATTGCTCCTCTGGTAACTTTTGCCAGAACTCGGCAGATAAATATGGGAAAGGGGAGAGGTGATATTGAATACCAGTAGATAAGAAAGGAAAAAAGTTGTTAATCGCAACCTCCATGAGGAAAGATTTAGGAAGTCCAAGTTGTTGCAAACATCTGTACAAACTTAATAACCCAGGGGAGTCAAAAAAGGGATTCCCCTTTTACTCCCAAAAAGACGAAAAACAGAGATGATACACAGTAGTGGGCTCTCATGGGGAATTTCACACTATTACCCAATATTACATAATGTGTTGTTGGTGCAAGGTGAATATGGACCCATAGCCAAACTCTTAATTTGATACTTCCAACACAATTCTATAAAGCCTTGGGGCCAAGCCTAACTTTTTGTCGCTCTCTGGCTGTGTCGCTACATGTTTATCAGTAGACTGTGCAGTCTGCATAGTCTATTACTTCAGACACTAACCAAATATGGGCTTGCGCCTACTTTGAACATTGCATACAATAATGGCACAAAAAGCCATTTAATTTCCTAAACTCTTTAAAGTGGTTTCACTTTTGGACAGGGTACATGTAGTTAACTTTTATCTTTTCTAAACTCTGAACAAAAAATGTTCATGTGCTGAACAGTTTGCAAATGTGGTTTTGATTCTATTGTGTGGCCATGTTTAGAACCAAATATCACCTCAAAAATACACATATGTGGTGGGTATTGAAAATGATCAGTGGAGTAAGAGAAGCTTCATTTCAAAGAAACAACTCTAAAGTTCTATAGTGATCAGCTAGCTGTGGTTTTGATTCTATTGTGTGGCCATGTTTAAAACCAACTATCACCTCAAAAATACACGTACACTGTACGTGGTGGGTATTGAAAATGATCAGTGGACTAGTCTAGATGTAATCTTAAAAGTCTTCAATTCCTCCCTATTTTCACGGTAGTGAATGAAAATTGCATACAATTTGCGTGCAGATTCTCTTCACTACCGTCACTTTGTGAAAACAGGAACGAATTACAGCATTTACAGTGTGATGAAAAATTCACACATGACTCAATCAATCGCCAAATACGTGAGAAAGCTTGCAAAATGCTTTCCATACAATCCATACAATCTTCACATTGTCTGCATTCGGACAAAAACATGCTTCAACTATTAAAGCACATTCTTTTGTGTTGGGATGCAAACTGAAAATGATCAGTGGCAAAAGAGGTCTTCAAAAGCTTCGGTTACAGCTTGCATGGGTGCGATGAATACTTCATTTAGGAGGTGAAAAAAGTACTTGTAAAATATTTGGCAAGGGTATCCAAAAGGAACTTTCCCATCTCTATATTTTCTCAAATTTACTTCCTTTTTGCACATATCAAAGTTGTGACCTCCAAGAACAAATTGATTTCGGGGAAGAGGGAGGAAATGAGCCAACAACGAAACAATGGCAACAGTTTCACAAAGCAAACAATAAATCTTTATCTCTTGAAATCACCTTTAACAATTCCATCTTGGTAATATTTGCACAAACTATATGCCTATACGGCTATGCTTGGTACATAAACCAGAAGACAATACTAAGTTTTAGAGGAGCCAAACAGAGATTTCTATTACATCTATTTTCTCTCACCTTTACTATCACTTTTAACCGTGACTGCTTATTTCTAGAACCTAACCAAATAAATCAAAATCAGGCTATACAGACCCACACAAAAGTGACTCAATAGCTCTGTTCACTCAGTTCCATTACACTTTTAGACTTTACTGTAAGTTTGTGAAAGCTCAAAATGTAAAACAAACGCCTAACAACGATGCAGGTTCACATAACACCAAAACAACAACTGCTCAAGGTTTGAAGCTACGAGACAGGCAAACAATCATTTAACTTCATGGAGAAGCTGGCAAAAGTTCAAAGCTCTTCTGCATGTACATGGCACATCACTTTGAGCCACCCCCTCCCTCTACTGTATGTTAACAACAAGTGCATCTACGAAGGTTAACTAAGGTTTATGTAGACTACATAAACCTTAGCTACAAGTTAACCTACGTACAAGTT